TTTGTTTTGCCTGCGGTCATTTTGAGCAGAAAATCCTTTTGCTTCGATCCCTACGAGGAGGCACTGTTCTTATTCTGACAAAATACTCTACGTTGGCTTTTATCTTGTTTTTCATCAATTATTAAGATTTAGGAATTTATTGAATTTGTACTTGGCAAATTCTCGAGAGGGATTTCCGTGCCTCTACATCCCAAAGTCCAAAATGCTAAAGAGCGGCACGCTTTTCGATTTGGTTTCACTCTTTACGGGTTCCATGTGGCGATCAGCACTTTCGTAACGTCTCTAGCCATTATGATGGATTCTAACTATCAAGCCTTCCATCCCGCACATAGGCTGAATCTGCAATTTGCTTATGACGCTCCTCATACTTTATCAAATTGGCTGGCTTAAATGCGATTGGCTTTTTTGTATAAGCGAACGGATGAGTCGGCTGTTAGAAGTAAAATGTGCAAAACTGTCTTTCTCCCTCTTCATTGTGCGCACTCGCCATTATCATCGAAATTTTGCGTAAATTAATTATCTTTTCACGTCAAAATCATCTAGACAATTATTCGCTTCCAGGGTTTTGCTAGACTCGGCAAGGCTTTGATCCTGTTTTATTATGCTTAATTGCTCTATAAACTTGTATGCCACCATATACACCATATTGCTTTACATCGTCCCTCTTCCATGATACGAAAAACGATAGTTTAGTTTATAAAATAAAATCAAGAAATGCTATCAACTTGTATTCCTCCCTTGTTAGTCCCTACTTTTCCTCTTTTCCTTTCTTTCTAGTAGGTCGTTCTGAGGTAATTTTATTTTTTTCTTTGACCCCCGTGACAGAGGTTTTCGATAGATGTAAGGCATATTCGCAGCTTTATATTCTTTTTGAAATGTGTGGTTCCCGCATGCCAGTTTTACTAAGAAGTCATAGAAAATGGCCAAAAACTACGGCTTATGGTTTCCCTACGCTATTTCTGAAAATTTGTGTGCCTTCCTCCAGGAAACGTCCATGTGAGGATGGAGAAAGCAGTTGAGGTTTTAGTTTTTGACATTGTATTTGCAGACTTCCAGGCAGTCTTTCAGTAAGCATAAACGTATCTTTCGGCTTCCTGGTTTGCCTGATACGCTGATTCTACGTGCTAAAGATGTTCTGTCAAACATCCTGTTGTTTTCATTTAGCAGTGGCAAAGCTTTACTAAACTAAGTCAGGCGATTAGATATGGCTAACAGGTTGAACTTCAACCGCCATCTGTCCCCTTAAAAGCATGCTTCCACTAGCGCCAGCTCACTGCCTTGAATTATATCCAGCATTTAGCCTGAGAAAACGTACTTAGCCGAAAAGGCTATAGCGAGCCGCTTTCGTGAATGAGTGTTTTTAGTGGTAATCCTGCCATGTTATATATTTGCCTCGGTTGGTCTCAAAAACGGGCATAAACCTCCCTGCGTGCTTAGAGATTTATGAGGGCTGCGCACGCATGATAAGATTCCGTTCCACATTGCTCGCAGCTTGAGACGTACAAAAAGAGCCACAAGAGGCAGTTTCACCCTTAAGTACGTTTTCTTTATCATGGAGCTATTTATGACAATGGCCCAGACCTTGTGCTCGTTTTGAGATTAAAAAAAAGTTGGTTCGTCATACGTCTGATGCTTATTTACTCTCCGCAATTTTTGCTTGCCTAGAATTTCGCGCAGTTGTATAGAAATACAAGTGGATGAATTTCTAGACATTTTAGACATCTGTTCTACTGTCTCTCGAAATTTCCCTTGCTGTAAGAAACGATTAGTAGAAAAAATTGTTGAATACATGCAGCAGGTTAATTACTCTCAACAACCACAGTATAGTCAGGGATATCCTGCTGGGTTCTTGAGAAATCACAAAGAAATCTCTGAGTGAAACAAATTTTTTGTATAAAATCCACTGGGTAATGATTTGCTGCATCAGCTATATTTTTAACTCACCTAAATTATTCCAAAATTTTTATCTGTCAGCTACTTTCACTATTGCGACGAAATACTGAGCTGAAGTGAGAATATTTCATTATTATTGAAGGTAACTTTGAAATGAAAGACGGTGACTGCTGGTTGTACTTATGTTTTTGCTAGAGATGGTAATGCTTATCACACTAGTGTTTGTTATAATGAGAAGTTCTCATTTCGGTGCGCCATAAAAATGTTCCGTGAATCAATTTTTTTGTACTGGATATAATAAGTGACTATCTTCCCACATCATGACCACATTTCTATTTTTGTAGGTACCTTTTTCCCTTGTAATTGTAGGGTATATGTCAAGTGGCGCAATTTTTGGCTGCCTTTGTTAGAATGACGTGAAGATCTTAACTGTAGTTCTTATGCTCCCAAAGTGTTGCCAATTCCTCTGAGGAAATACTGTAGAAATAGGGGTTGTGGTATAGAGGAGACGAAAGAAATGTTATCATGAATATACAATATGAAAAACATGAATTATCGATTCACAGCTGCTTTTTAGAAAGTTCAAACAACGTTTGCTGAAGGTCCAGCATTTCAACTCTATCTTACAAATATAAAAGTTGTCAAATCAAAGTGTGAAAAAACAAATGCAAAGTCTATTTTTGTCAAGTTCACCATTTTGGTGCTCTTCTCTGCTCACTTTTCTCTTGTGATTTCCCTTGCAGTGCTTTAACTTAAAAGATGCCGGCAATAAATATCAATTCAAGATTAGCTCTTTCAAGTGAGCTTGTCTACTCATATTCTTCATTGGTAACACATGATGTCACCTATTGTATAATTGAAGCATTCTCAGCTTGACAAACAAGCATGAAATACAACACATCTCGTAATTTGTGAAAAAAACGCACAGTCACCCGATTCATGTGACATCACCATAGCGTAGCCATATCTCGCTTCAGAATGGATTAATTCCAATTTATCCAAGAGCACCATTTGACTCGGCTTGACGCGGTGCATCTTCTTATACAAATAAATGTCCGCTTAACGTTTCAGATTTCTGGTTACCGTGGGTTAGTGTGCTTATTCATTGCACTCACTGGGCAGCCTGCCGTAAGCAAGGATCTGAAATGATTCGTGGAATCTTGCCGAGATGAGTCGAAATGGTGCCCTTGGATTAAGAATTTGTCTACTCTGAAGCCAGATATAGCCACGCTACGGTGATGTCACGTGAATCGGGCGAGTTTGCGTCATTTTCAAAGAATGAGCGGTGTTGTGGTTTGATGGAAAAAAGCTTGTATGAAAATACATGAAAAGATTTCTCATATTTGCGTAAGGCACATACCTATCTATTCTCTGAGTTCTCCGTTTCAATTGGCTCCACTGATTTATCTCAAATTTCACTGATTCGTCAAATTGGTCTACCACTCGGTTGTTAACACCATGGCAAAGTTTCTTGGCAAGTACTCAGTTTCTTTAGGTTAGCTTCACATTGCAGTACCATGCTTCCTTCCAAAAATAAGAAGAAGATAATGAGAAGCTATCCCAGCTACTTAACCGCAGTGGGGTTCTGTGGGATGACAAACTGTAATATTCTTGCAATTCGTATGATGGTGGTTAAAGACAGTGATTAGCCTGGAACCTAATGCTGGATCAAATTTTTTTGCTCTGAACGGAAATTACGAAGGTATTGGACTGATGTCATTCATTTTGGCTGTGATTATATATGATTCTCAACCTCATCAATGCATTTTTCCGCTTTCAATATCATAACTTGCACTTATTAGTATTTGAGTCGTATAGTTCGCTCCCATCCTGTCCCTGCATTGTTTTCGTGCTTTCGTTCGAACACATCCATAACGAATGTTTTATAATGCCATAATGTTTATACTTTTATGTTTATGCAGCGATATCATGCACTATCAGTAAGCTGCAGGCATATGGCATTTATGCATTTATCGGACTGACTCATCACGGTCATTGTCAGATTCTCGGACATTCGGTCGACTTTTGGCCTCGCAAGGGCAAATTTTTGCCATATAACAGAGTTCTGCTTTGTTTATTTCTCCTTGCATTAGCGATCTTCTAAGCTGCCGAATTATCATCATAGAACATTTTATCTTTGCAGCTTCACTATTTCAAGAAATGATGATCTTTCATCTATACGAGGTATGAGTTTGGTTTTGAAACTAGCGCAATGAACCGCATAATCGAGACGAATTTTGTAAACTAGTTTCTTGAAGGTCATTTTGAGGGGAAAAACTATCTCTTTCAGCTGCGCATAGGAAATGCTCAGTCAAATGCGATAATTTTTGTCACATGCTGAAATTGAGCCTGAAATGATAACTCTCACTCGAATTTTTTATGATCGATCTTTTTTATAATTTGTCATTTGAACTTTAGAAATGATGAAATTGAACTTGCGCGGTTTTACTATCGTTTATAAATATTATGTATTATGAACTTGACCAACTGTACTCAAGCTGAAATAAAAAGTGGTCTTTTAATCACAAGTCTCTGCGAGAAAAGTCGATATTTCTAAAAAATGATGTTTGTGTGTTTGTTAGTGATGAATAGGTTCTGTATAGATTAATCAGAGGAATTTTGCAATACACGTACTTCTAATGCCTATGTTGATATATTTTCATCTTTTCTGCCCAGAAAATAATTTTGCAAAAATAAAATTACAATTAGCATACAAGAATATGTGGAGAACTCGAACGTATAATGACATCAAAAACTGTTCAAAGACTTTCGTCCCTGTAAATTTGATTCGAGCAATCTTCTTGAGTGAAGTGAGAACTTTCGACTTTAGACCCTGAAAAGTTCATGTCTTCTTCATCCTCGTTCTCGACCTTTTAGCTTCCACTTTTCCCCTTCTATGCTAATTCACTTTGCATGGGACTGTCAGAAGCCCAAGCCAAAATCATCAATTATTCGTCGCTAATTATTCACTGGTAGGTCCTGCGAGTAGGAAAATTTGTCTCTCGCTCACACGTTTTTCGTGCACATCGTTTGATCGTTGTTCGTTTTTCGAAACCTCACAAAATGCACTCGACGTTCCTCTCCAAATCAGTGTTGACCCCATTCAGACCGCGCCATTTTGCGACGTAGAAGGTGCTGCGGCAGGGGCAGCAATCGCATGTCGATGTGGATTCTCTACGGGTGTTTCATCGTGACTTTCTTCTACCTGCTGGCTGTCACAAACCTATTCGAAACGAATAAAAGCATCCACGACTTCATCAAGTCGTCCCGCGTCAAATACGCTCGATATCGGGAAGAAGCAGCCGCTTTGAAGAGTCGGAAACAAAAAGACGGTAAGAAGTTTTTGGCAAGTTCCCCAATCGAGTAATCTATTCAGAGTGAGTGTTTCAAGAGCGACAGCCCTGCTGTTATCATAATTCAAGAGCTTATAGCTTTTAGCTCCAGCTTTTTCTGCCATCACCAATCTTTTTTTGAATCTACTTTTTTTGTTGTTCTATCTACCACCGGTTGTAGTCACAAGAAATTTTTTGTTTCTCCTTTCAAAAAAGAGGATTCAGAGCAAGACATGATCAACAAAAATTCCGCCTGTCTTGACTACTCTTTCTGGATGAAACCTTGCATATAATGATTTCTCAAAATCAATTAGTTAGTGGAAGTGAGAAATTAGGTCAGTTTCTCTTGGAAGGAATCCATGCGTATCCCATAATCTTTGTTTTGTTTTGTTCAGCTTTGATAATCGCATTGCTAAATGACTTGTTGATTGACATGATTCATTCAATCATTTCCATATCTCATTGTCTCATATATGTGTTTTTATCTTTTGTGCCTTTCCTGTGCGTGTCGCTGGTATAACTAAATACCATGGGCCAGATGTTACTTCGTCAGATGTTTCATTTTGGGCTTTTAAGGTCGGCCGGTAGGTATGGGCGTTACAGTGTCTAGTAAATCTTTTCCCTGAAATATTCTATCAGACGGCTAACATGCTTGTAGCTTTTGGACATCCTCTATGTTAGGATATGTGAATATCGCGCGAACTGATGTCTTCTAATGCAGACGGGATTCCGGAGTTTGCTTCCATTTGAAGGGCGCTGCGGCGCGGTCAGTCGGACTATGTTTAAAGTGCCGTATTTTATTCTGGAGAAGAGAAATGCCTGCTGTTACGGCACTATGTTATTTCTCAAGCTATGTTCAACAAATCTTTATGCCTCAAAAATTTGATTCGTGCGGATTATCGCTTCAGGCTCGCAACGGGTACATTCTTCACACAGCATTTTTTTGCATTAGCTTTAAGAAAATGGCAGACTTGTGCATGTGCAGAAGCCCAACTTTGAAGGAGTAACACATTAAGACTCTCTCTGACATCCAAAAATATTCTTACAAGACCTTGTCTTACATGTAAAAGTTTGCAGTGGAAAAAATGACGCCCATGCTTTTCGGCCACCCTGATCTCCGTGCTTTTTTAGTTTTCATCTAAAAACTCCATCTTATGGTTTTTAAAAGATCGAAACAAAGGTTTAATCTTTCCAGACCTAAAAAAAGATAAATGCGTGGCACGTGCTCTCAGTTTATAATCGCTTGCAATCATAGAGATCCTACCTGAGTAACTATAGGTGATAGGCTACCCTCTTTCACATTCCTTAATAACAGAATAGCAAGTTTTCCATGTTTGCAACCTCTCGAGTGTATATTGGGTTGAACTGAAAGTTTGTCGCACCATCTTCAAAAAATCGTAACTTCTTCCTTCACGATAGTCTAGCATGGTACACCACTGGAAAGACTGTATCATGTACTTCCATGCTGTGTCGCAGAGATAAAAATGGAAAAAGAAATGACTTCGGGTTGGGTGATTTGAGGCAAGCCCTTTGAAAATCCGAAAAATGTGCAATAAAATCCGAAACAGCAGCACCACAAGTTTTTTGAACTCCTCTTTATAACCGAGCAAAGTTTGCGCTGATCAGGCATGTCTTTGAAATGTTATGATTTTCAGGAAAAATTGCTAAAAATTAATCTCGTAGGAAAACTGCTTTTTGGCATTTTTCATAGAAAAATATAACTTTTCGAACAAAAGCTCGATTAGCGCAAATTCTGCTCAGCTAGAAAAATGAGGTTGAAAAGCCTATGGCTGGCTGTTTTCAAGTTTATTGCGCAGTTTTTAGATTTTCAACAGGCTAGCTTCAGATCACCGCACCTGTAGTAATTTCCTTTTTCCATTTTTATCTTTGCGATCAGAGCATAGAAGAGGGCAAGATAGGTGTTGCTAGAAAGTACATGATTTGTTGTGACAGGAAGAAGTTACTTCTCTGAATGTTGTGCGAAGAACCTCCGGTTCACCTTTTACTCTCCGGTTACCGATCGTCTTTCGCACCCGCCATAATTTGCTGTGAACACGAATATCCCATAAACACATGAATACCCCATAAACGAACGCAGTTCCTAACAATCGAGTGCCTTGACCAGCTGCTTGTCTCGAATTGCGTTTTCGCATCAACGCTCTCTTGAGGTCAGCCACAGCTGCTCGATTTGCTCAGTGCATTGAAGATAATCGCATTGGGCTTCGTCACGCTTCGTCATGAACGGCTTCAAGTTAGAAGCGTAACTCCGACCAAAGGGACCAAGAAGAAATTTGCTTTTTCGGAATGAAAAAAAATTGTAAGACAGTGCGCATTGAAATTGGTGTTTACGGTCGTTGTCAAACCTTGCCGAAAGGAAATCGAGGAATTTGTAACTTACAAATTCAGATCTATTCGCTGGAAAATTGTTGAAGCTTTTTGATAGCAGAGAAGTTATATTTTATTGAAGTTTATGCTTTGATTCTAAGAGCTTATTCCTACCTAAACAGCTGAAAAAGCATAAAATAATTGATAATAGGAGAACACTTTAAGATAGCACCTCAATATCTTTTTTCTCGGTATGCCAGAATTGTGATTTGTTTTGGTACTCAAAAAATGAACTGAATTTTTGTGCAGAAGTACTGTTCTGTGCCGTTTGAGCGGAATTCACCAGAGAATCGGTGATTTTGATTCATATTTGAAATACGATTGAAAATTTTATATCTATCTTGTTATTTTTACACCTGTATGGTGGTCGCGCTCTTTAATGTATAATACCTAATAATAGCTATTAATGGCATTCAGTGGATGAAATTCATAAATGTAGGTAATGTTCACTCTATAGTCTTTGAGCTGGAAGTTTTCAACGTCTTGAATTAAATCTATACATTTCAGAGCCCGTACAACCCTTGAACAGCACTCCTCAGGACATCTTCGACACATGTCCTTTTGTGGCACCAGATCCATGGGATCCCGAAATTCTCAACTACATCGAAGTGAAATACGGATTCTTCAACGTAAGTTTGGCTTTTAGATCATCAATAACAAATCAAAACAATCCTAACTTTTTCTCCGAGGGTCAATCGTGTCAAATGCGCCATTTAATTTTTGAACGCGGAATCATTCAAGCTGATTTTGCAGAGAGCGATCAACATTCGACTCCCCGAAATAAACTTTCGAAGGTCATGTTACAGCGAAAAGACCGTTCCGCGTAGAATTATAATGAGGTCACCCTTCTAAGTTCCATATTCTATTATAATTTCTAGTTGGTTTTCAAGTATCACCCGAAATATATCGGCCATTTTGCATGAGTGATGTTCGGACTAGTCGGGTAACTGCGACCAATAAGTGAGCGTTTGCTGTCAGATGCAGAAATTGAGTGAGGGTACAAGACATTGATTTGCCGTAATGGAAATATGTCTAGTACCATAAGGGACTATAAAAAACGACGGTACTTTTCCATTATCCGGACCCATTTTTTCAAAAAAGCTTTCACAACATACGCTCTTTAGTCTAGAAAGAATTTTTTGTAGATTTTACGAAGACTGCCTCTCCGCCATGTGTAGTCCATTTTGACTTGTTCTTTTCGAAATCATTTCCGGTGAGGTAAAAAAAGCGTTTGTGACCACCTAAAAGCCTTTCAACTGTTTTCAATGAAAGCAGAACTGTTTAAGAATTATAGCAGAACATCTTGGTTGCTTTCAGCAATAATTCAAGCTTGTCATCCTCTGCAAACTTTCCGCCATGCGAATTTTTGTCAGGAGAGACTATAATTGATGTTTTGCGGTATTTCGCTGTTGCTTGTTTCGCCGCTCGGATGATGGAATCCTAGCGCACTTTTCCATTCTGGGCGAATCTAATCTGTTCAGGTTTAAAGGATGACGTTATTATTATAACAGTGTTCATTTCTGAAATTCTTTATTTGAAAATGGGGTCATTATTGACTTGAATTTGTATTTTCTTCTCTAGGCAGTGCAAAACAAAACCTTGGTAAAACCTGTTAAACATGTAGATGACATGTCAAATTTTTTTGACACGTGACAGAAGGTAGACGCTCCTTCCTGTGAATTTAAGACCAAATATGGCACAAGAAAAAAAATATCCTTTTTTTGAAGAAATGGGTCCGGATAACGGTAAAGTACCAAAACGACTTGCAATGGCTTTCATCGGGTAGGGTGGATAAAAGACCAAACCAGGGATCGCTTAGGGTACTTTTGCTTAACCATCACTTATACTTTTGCATTGGCAACTATTAGGCAAGAATGTGTTATGAAGAAAATGCGCATCACTGGGTTGTTTCGGACGGTACCCTAAAATTGGCAATTCCTCCAGCCTGAACTGGCAATCAAGGCTCGGCGCGAGATGACTTCCCGAAAATGCAAAAAACGAAATTCCTCTCGGCTTCCCCAAAATTTTACGGAGTCAACTTTGACCTCAAACCATAACCGTAGAAATCCTCAAAACGTCTTGAAAGAACTTGACCCAAGTACCTTCCGCAAAAACGATATCCAGTTTGCTTATAAGCCACCTGTGTCAAACTCTGCTATAAATACACATGGCTATGCGACTTTTTCGACCATTTTTGAGCTGTATTGTAAGCTAGTTGTTTTGAGAAGAGAGCTTTGCGATAAGAGACAATTTTCGTTCGCTCTGTAGTTAAACCGCAGCGTTAGTCAGCAGATTTTTGCCAAACTGTCCATCGCCTTAAGTTATCTATCGGTTGGATAGGAAGCTTCTTTGATGAGCGGCGCGATGCGCAGGGAATATTTTTTCAAATGAAGGGCTTAGCTTTCTAATTTTTGGCCTATAGCGGCACCAGCCATGCCTCTGGAAGTAATAAGAACAAATAGCGTGCACAATTAAAAATCTCCTCATAACAACATTCCGAGCTATTGGTCGCTTACAAAATCCATTCAGCAACATTGGAAAAACGACAGAAAGCAGTTCATCGTGCCAGTGCTCAGTCACTGCACACTTATTAACTTACTGTAGGCAGAAAGCGGAAATTCGTGATATCTGACCGCGTATCGTATTCAAAGGGCACTTGTTTATATCAGAAGATGCGCCTCGCCAAACCGAGTCGAAAGGTGCCTTTGAATCTAGAATTTGCAAGGTATGGCGATGCTACGCGGGTTTTGGTGAACTCTGGTAGAGTGAGGTGATTTTTTGACGAATTATGAGCGGTACTGTATTCCCTGGATTGAGCAAAAATAATAAATGTTAAAAATTCCTGAATACCTCAGTAACCTGCCGTGTGCTAGCTGAGTGGTTTGTTAAATTAAGATTTCAACGTTCTAGTAGCGATGTTCATTTTCCTTACCCATTCGGCACTTCACCCATCGCAGTCCAAAAAGCTTCACAAAAGCAAAGCAGAGAAAGACTTCACTTTAATTCTTAATCACTCGTCAAAGTTAGGAATAGCCGCCATGTGCGCTCTGCATTACTTTCAACTCGATTTTATAGCCCACTTTTTTCATCTCTCATTTTCTGCGACAAAAATGCAAATGAGGGCATACAAATGGTTTATTGCGTTGCATTTTATCGATGTCATGTGCACAATTACAGAATTGCACAGTGAATGAGAAATGGGCGCCGATCACTGAACTTCGAGACGGACGAGTTCGTATCATGCGAGAGGGCAGCGCACGGAAATATGAGTGTAGAGCAAGGTCAGTTGAGAAAATGATACCGTAAGATGGTACTTTGTCCGATACTGCTCGAACAAGAACTAGGTTGGAACATAAGTTTTAACACTTTTTGCTCTTTCTGTGAATTGAAAATTTCGGCAAACTCTTACGCTTGGAATGCGAAATGAATCTGTCAAACAATCTGTATCTAATTTCGAAAATTTCCATCGATACTGTGACAATTTCGAGGCAGCTGTTTATCTCCATTATCTCCCTTTTATTCCAAAAAACCTATTATTTTGCTCTTTTTTCTAAAGGTGCACCATGAGTGTATCTCTAAATAAATAAATAAATAAATAAATAATAAATAAATAAATAAATAAATAAATAAATAAATAAATAAATAAATAAATAAATAAATAAATGTGAATAAATGAATAAATAAATAAGTAAATAAATAAATAAATAAATAAATAAATAAATAAATAAATAAATTTGCTCCCCTATGTTTTGTGAATTTCTCCTCAGGAAAGGAGTGGAGTGAGTCTCAGGCACTTCAATAACTCTAGTTGTAACCTTTGATTTAACTGGCTTGGCGGCTGGAAGGCGTGGGTTTGTGACCTAATTAAGGCCGCTCGCGCCCGCTACGCAGTCTGCGTCTCTCCCGCGCATGTGCTCTCTGATCATTACCTAGCCTTAAGTAGGCCACGAAGTCCCACCTTCCAGCCTCCAAGCCAATTGAATCAAAGGGTAAACCAATTCTTGCTCGCACTTCGAGAATATGAAGTTCTTTTTAGGACCTTTCATAAATAGGAATGGTGAATTCATCGAAATTTGAAGACATGAAAATCCTTCAAGAAAAGATTGGACTCATGGGTGTAAAAACTTAGATTCCTACCTGATAGTGTTACAAGAGTTCATGAGTCAAAGGAAATGTTTAGTTTGTCACTGTTTAGATGTGTCAATTACTTGGACGAGGAGCATGTAGACCTCGATCCATGGCGAGAAATCAACGACCCGCAACCATTTCAATGTGATTTTGTCCAGACTGAATGCACATCAAGACGACGAACATTGTCATATATTCACATGCAAATCGCGGAACTGAGGTTCGTGCGAATTCATGTTTTTGATGATAATTAATACCTCTTGTTTCGTTTATGATGAACAGTCTGGTCATTATAAAGGAATGCACATTGGGTGCTTTTTCTGAGCGTACAAAAAACATATTAATAATTTATTTGTTCTTTGGATCTCCTATGGAAATATCAAAAAAATCGCTCACGAGAAAGTCTCACTAATTTCTTACATCCCATATTTTTTGAATATGCGTTGCATTATGTTCTGCCGGTGAAAATTCTTGATATAAAGTTGCCTGAAATTTCGGGCCACACAATGTGAACTATAAGAACTGGAGCAGGTTCCTTGCTTAGAGCAACCTTTTGAGCGAACATGAGAAATATCATTTCTACTGTTTCTCATATACTAACAAGCTCAGAGTCGCTAGATTATTTTTTTCAGTACGAAATCGGTGCACTCTAGCATCCATCCAAATGTACACATCATCCTTGTTGATTCTGTCGCTTCATCACAAGCAATCAGGTGAGATCCGACTTTTTTTTACAATTCACATGTGCTTAATTTTTGTGTGCACATCAAACCTGTTGAGTATATGACAATCAGTTAACTTTTGACTATATTATGATTTGTGAGAAAGATCTTGGTGATTGTGTACTTGTCTAGTTGACCAAAGTAAAGCTTGGGTCCTCTTTAATGTTTAATCAAGTAGGAAATCTTGTCTATTGTCTTGTCCTCGTCTATCTAAGTATGCTACGAATTCAAGTCTAATTCCAGAATCTGTTGACTCTGAATCAAGTTATTATAAATCATTGCCATCTTTCGCACTCATTTCCTAAGCCAAGATAGGAAATTTATACAATTTCCATTCCTCTCATTATTGCTCACAGCTGTCTTCGCAGTTTCCAAATATCGTACCTCTATGTGATGATGCAAAAACAATGCTTTTATTTCTGAAATACAGTATTTTTTGATGGAGTATAATCTTTGCTGAGCTTTTCGTCAATTCTTTCGTAAGCTATGTACGCTCTATCAGGACAGTCATGGGAGTAAACCAGCTTAGAAGCACTTTGGATACATTCTGATGTGAGTCTATATGCTTTCAGAGCTCTTCCTCGTACGGTTAATTTCCTCACAAATGCAATGGAAGCAGTACAATTGCGAAAGTTTAACAAAGTCGGAGCAAACAGTCGCCCTAACGGCTTTGTGATGCTTTTTGGTGAGACTCTGCTTCCGATATTCTGCGTGTACGATGGCACTTCTTCATAAAAGCTCTCTTCTTTATAGGAAAGACTACTGAACCAGTTATGAGAGAAATGGTCGACCAAGAGCCAATTCCAGCCGATTGGACGTACTCCACGTACTGTCGGAAGTATCTGGATGAGTCGCTTTACATACCCGTGCAGTACAGGAACGCGGGTTATAAGGCGAGTACGCTATATGTTACTAATACAAAATGAAAAAGGATGGAACTTTAGTTTGGCATTATTCGTGCGTGTGAGATGTGTAAATATTGAGATATGCTGGATACACGGGGTCGCAAAAATTCATCGGCCACACAGCTTATCTGTTCAAGATCCCACCACTAATGCATCGTACACCTGTAGTCAGATTTTTTGGAGAGCATTTATTCGACGAGCTAAATGTATAACTTGCTGTTATATAAAAAAATCAGTGAAAGAGACAGCGCAGAATTAGTCTTATTGAAACTATGAACGAATTGTTTTTTTTGCTCAGTAAGTAGGAACATGCATTGTTTTAGACCAAATAGCGTATCCATTTTAGACATTTGGTGCACAAGACTATGCCTCCAGTCTATTGAATTTTCCCAATTGTGAGGGTTTGGAAAAGCGCGAGTTCCAACATTCGTACAGGTAAGTAAGAGTTTTTCAGTACCGTTCATTTACTTCGTATTTTTATTTTAGGCCTTTTGACCTTCTTCTTTCCACGGATCGAAAATTGAAGATTGCACATGAAGTTGCGCCATGCTTACGATCTCACGACAATATGCTCAAGTATTTGGAAAAATTTCTGAATTCTTATAAAGGTTAGTTTTCTCAAAAAGTAACTTATATGGCGTGCGCTAGTGCTCTTCAATTAAGTTCAAAAATAAAACACTTGCTCTTCTGCTTTGTAGATCTTTGTGAAAGACTGGCATTCTCGATAATTCTTCTCATATGTAAAAAAATCTGTTCCTGCTAGAATCCGTCTTTCTTCCTCGACATATTTTCGATGTATCTGGCGCTACTTCTTCACCCCCCCCCCCAAGTCTGCCATTCCTAAATTAGCGCAGTCACTTTAGGTTCGTCAAAATTCTCGCTATCATGGGTAACAAAACTAGCACACGATGACACTGGGCGGCTTTACAAAGGCGACAATGACTTATATAATTTCTTTGTCAGGAACCGACAAGAGGTAAGATAAAAACTAACGACAGTTTTGTGGATCTGAGTCATTGAACTCTTGCAGCTCGACAATTCTTTCGTGTTCTTTTTAGGCGATCATGGACCTCGCTTTGGAAAGGTGAGTGCACTCTTTGTTCCCTTGTTTAATTCTCATTACCGAGTAATGCCTTCAGGAAACTAAGACAACTTTTGGAAGGAATGAGGCAAATAATCCGTTTTTGTACATGACCGTCCCAAAAACGTTGCGAAATACGGAACTGTTTACAACTCTGAAGCAGAAGGAGTACGAGCTCATCACTCCGCATGACATCCATGCTACGCTCAAGGATATCCTCGAGGTAATAGAAAATGGAGAAGTAAAAGCGAAATTATAGTAGTTAAATTATAGTAGTTCTAGCTAACTGATCTTTTCGAAAAAACTGTGGAAGAAGGAACTTTGTGCTTAATCGTACTATGATTTATAGAGCTGTACGGTAATAACTCCTAGACTTCTTCTCCATTCGATCTCTTCGGAAGCGCAACCATAGGCTGCGTTCAGAGTCGCCCGCATGGGGTGCATCAGCGTCGTGCCAGCGCCGTGTCAGATCCGGGCCGGGATCCGCGTGCACACGTTCCTTACCGTAATCGACGTTACGGCTAAGTGCTAGCACGACGCTGGAATGGAGCTGTCATCGCGTTGGCACTGGCAGCTCTGGACGCATCCCTAGCATTTCTCTTTCTTGGAGCTGTTTAGGATATAAAATTTTTAGGAGCAGCCTTTTTCGAACTTTGCCGATACTCTCTACAAGTCATTTCTACCTGCAAGCAGAGGCTCATCACTTCTGCGAGAGTTTGAACGAGGAGTGGTACGAAATTGCAAGACGCTCCCCATACCGTTCCAGTACTGCATCTGTCAATACGCAAAAGTGCCTCTCGAGTGAGTTCTGGGAATGTCCTTAAGGTTGGGCTGAGATCAGAAATTTGTAGGTCGCACAAACTCATATTAAACTTATCTTTCGGCTTCTCCAGTTTTCGTTTTATTTGATACGTAAAGGTTGGTACTATGTAGCGCTTTTGACTTTTTGGACTGCTCAACGTTTCGAGGTGCAATCATACTGATAAGCACCTAAGTCATTGCCAGAAAAACTAGTTACGGTGCTTCGGGCGGCTTCGTAGGATGTTTTTGGATTCCACATGAGCTTGTGTCAGGGTACTGATTATAAGGCCTAGTGCGTACTTTGAGATAACTTATGAAGCTGTGCCGCCGGTATTCGTGCAAGCGTGGAACATTAAGGCAGAATACAAATGCTATTCAAACCTCTACATCGTCTGAAAGTTGTAGCAGCATCGCTACAGCAAAATGCTGTACATACTTGTTGAGAATGTTTAGTTGCTTGCGTATATCCAACTTGCCAGTTTATAAGGTCGTTCTGAAAGTATTGCCGCTTTATCCTAATGAACACCACATTTCATAGAACAAAGATTTCTAAGAGAGTTTGGTAGCATTCAATGCAGAATTTCATCTTCTTTTTACAAGTTATAATTCATTTCAGAATGATCAATAAGCTCTCGGAAAATTGTCAAAGTCTGCGACCCGCGCCTTCCGTCGTGGTCAAGTTTTGCTACTTTTCAAAATTTTCATAGCGATCCTTCGAACAAGTCCAAGCAGTTTATGAATAGAGCTATCCGTACAGAGCACAGAATAACTTTTTGCTTTTCCTTAACTTGCTTCTTAACATTCCGAAATCATTTTTCTGATGCTGTAAGATTTCACATTTGGTCTACTCAAGCTCCGTCGCACAACTAGGCAACTCTGGTATCACTCGATGCAACTTTTGTCCTCTTTCTAGCAGTTTTCTTTCGATTTTTAAAGTCTCCGAAGATGAGATCGTCAAAATTCATGTTTTCGAAAGCGCTCCAGGCTGTACCTGGTATCTCGAAAGTTGCTATTCTGAAGCGGTATATGCTTATCTGCTCTGAAAAGTTTGGTGAAACCATAACCTATTTTTGGAAGATTAGAATTTCAATATTTTACTGATGTTTGATGCGTTTGTGTCTGAGACAATCCTGCTAAAATTCGGTGGTTCCATTGAGAAATCTATCAAAAAATTGTGGACAGCTTTCGAGAAATGTAGAGAATAGTACTGTATCCTGTGAGCTTTGCTCTGTCTCCATCCGTTACTTCCTTTGGAGGGTTCGCATAAAAATTCAAATTGTGAAACTTGACCATGGCAAAAAGCATGGGTCACAGATTTTGATAACTCTCCGAGAGATCATTGACTATGATGCGACGATTTCATAATTTTCAGAAACAGCATGAATTGCTGCATCGAATACAACCAAGATATCTCAGAAATCTATGTTCCACGAAATGTTCTCATTCGAAAAAAAAATTGCTTTTGGATCAACCATATCTGTGTTTGGACAAAAATTGGCTATCCATCCTTAGACGCATTTGATTACTGGAATGGAGGATTCAGCGGTTTAGAGTTGTGGCTAATCACACAAAACAATGCTACTTATTTGGTTAATCACTAGCCCCTATATGTCTTTCTCAGCGCTAACCCTCTTATGTAGTCTTGGCGATTTTTATCTAATATCATGACTATAATATTTCAAGAAACTAGACCAAACCAGAATTTTGTGGAAGTCAACAATGAGGTCTGTGTAACCTAATGTAAATACCTCAAAAATTATAAAAGAATTTACCTTTATAATTACGCTGGCAGTTTTATAATACTCGCTCTTACAGCGATGACGCACTCGCTATCAAACTAGGACAGTTTGGTGTGGACGGTATCAATGATATTCTGAAAAAGAACAACATGTCGGAAAATTGCACTCACCTCATCCTTCACCAGGTAACTCAAGTTCGTAATCTAAACGTCAATTTACCTAAGAGTTTGGCACTCAGGTCCACTCAGTATCCCGGTACGTCCTTCCCGAAGAACAAATGCGAACAACAGCTATTTACGACGTCACATTCCAGGTTTCTCCATCTGCAGGCTTGTTCCAGGTTCGTGACATGACTTCATAGCCACTAAAGCGAAGCATTTGAGCTTAGTTGTCGTTAAACATGCATATTTTTCCGGGCCAAGACATCGTTCAATGCTTATTGAATTTTTTAATAGCGTAACTTTGAAGGAATCTGTGCTTTTTTATTCCCAAATGAAGGAACTTTTCTCAAGTAAACCCGTGAATTTGTTCTCACCAGTGTGGTGATTTTTGCGAATTTATGGAAATGCAGGTTTTGCAACTTTCTGTAACAAAACTCACTGGACATCCTAGCTTGACCCGAAAGTCCGTTCGCACCATTTTCAGAAATTCATAAATTCTTACTTTCTCAAAAGATCTGCATTACTTTAGCGTTCTCTAAAAGAAGTAGTCATGCGCTTTTCACTAGTCTGAAAGCATTTCCAATACACCAACACTGCAGAGATAGAAACTTAGAACAAATACTCAAGGTTTAATTTTTCTGTGTAGGATGATTTGCTTCAGCCAAAAATCTGAAACTTACAAAAATCGGACCAGTTGATATCAAAGGTTCTAAGACCTGATCTTTCCATCTGTGCAAAAATTGTACCAATCGAGCTTTCTTTTATCAAAAGTTTTTTATTGTCGGGCAAGCAGTACAAAACGACAATATTTGAACTTTGTTCGTCTTTTTCTTGACAGTTATAACTTTGGGCAGAGACTTTTAATCAATATATGTACCTTTTGCACAGATAAAAATGGCAAGTCATAAGATCTACAACAGCAACTGCTAGGATCTTTAGTGGAAGTTTTGAATTTTTAGCTATCCCACTCAGACAAAACTTTAATAGTCTCGTTCTACAGTTTTTATCTCTGCAGTGTTGGCCTGTTAGAAATTTTAGTAAAAACTTTTGTAAAGCAAATGGTTATATTTTTCCAAATAAAGCATATTATATGCAAATTCTTCGAGAAAGTAAGAGGTTATGAGTTTTTGAGAATAGTGCGGACGAATTTCCGGGCCACCTAGGTTCCAACCTGTAGCAAAGTTCAAAATCAGCGAACTGTTCAGATAGTATAGCATTTTTGAGTCACCAGCCTCACTGTATCGCTATGCTATAGAAAAGAGAGAATTAAAGCATGATTTGGTTGGGAATTCAAGGAACCAGGTTAACTTCTATTTTTTTATGTACTCCAGACTGTTTTGCTAGGTTGTTTTTGTATAATACTGCAGCTCAAGACTCCACTTTCAGATCCCAATACGCTCGAAAAATGGTGTGTTTATGCTCGGAGGTTCTACATTCACTCGCCTCAACGAATACGGAAAGCAATCGGTGTGCGTAGCGAAAGACACACTGAAACCGTTATGTTACTGCAAAAATCAACGAATTGAGAGCAGTGCTTAGGTGCTATCGGTTAACAAATACGGGTTCATGTAGTGACTTATTCGTAGAACTGTATGGAATCGATCTTAGTCATTCCTGGGTGCTTTTTATTTGTCGATGTCATCGCTTACTATTTGTATAATTCTGTGACATTTTTTGACTCAGTGATGTAATCAAAATTGCCACTCACTATATCCTTAGGAACCCACTTTTTACTGCTGGTTTACACGATTCGATGGTGCCTTCATATTATTCATCTGACCGTGTGTACATAGTTGATCTCATTCTTTGGCTCACATTTTGTTATGTTTCTGATATAAATGGTCGCAGAGGTCAATCTTGACTTGATTATGTTTTCATGAGCGCAACCTATGCTAGCTCGTAACTTTATCAATATATTGATGCCATCAACTGTAACCGTGAATCTAGAGCGACTGGAAATTATGGAGATTCTAGAAAGAATGAGTGTTTTCTGGAGGAACAAGTGAATTTCCGCGCACATAAACCATCATTAGTTACATCATGAATGTACAGCTAACATTCGATGTTTGAAACCTCGACAAGGTGATATCACCAAGAGCATCAGTCACCACACGAAATGGTATCACATTCAACATAAATACAAATTCTTAAACGCATTATTCGCAGTGATTGATGAGTGGAGGAGCTAACAAAAGTCTATGGAAACTCACAGAGAAACCGCGAAAAGTGAGAAAAGGTCACTATGATATTCAGAGTTGTAGGGGAGCAAAGAATCTTGGACGGTAAGCTAATTAAGGGCTAAAGCTCTCAATAAAATTGAGAAACTGATGGAAATGTTGGGTGAACAAAATTTTATCGCAAGCTTTTTTAGCATCCCTTCAGCTGACCTTTCAGAATTTTTCAAACTAATTTTTTGAAGATATTTGAATTGTGTAAAAATTGCGTGAATTATGATGTCATCAAATACTTTCTACTTAGGACCTTTCAATAACCTGTGGAAATTGAATCGTAAGGTAAAGAGATGAAAGGAAGTATTGCACTGCGAAAGCTTTGCTTTATCTGCCGGTTACTAACGCCTCTTCAAAAGAACGAAATTTTTTAAATTAGCCGAAGTTGGGCAAGGTTCAACAACGTTCACAATTATCGCAGATAATTTGAACGGTGGGAAAGATCCTATTGAAAACACCGCCATTGGAAAGAGTAAAAGATTATGCATTGGATAATCATGAAGTGTTGGCCTACTTTTATCATGAAAGGTTTGCGAACTGACTGAAAAACAGCAGTGACTTTCGGACCGAAATAATATACGACACTTACAACCTTGTGAGTTTTCATAAATTTTTGGGAGGTCCTTTGCGCACACACATATTTTTAGTTTAGGGGCACTATGTATCAATCACACGATCGTGAGATCGTGTGCTCGCTACCGTTGAAAACCTGCCCAAGATCAGGTGCGAGCACACGATCTCGCGATGTATGAAGCACACGATCTTGCCACAAGATCGTGTAGCAGCGCACGATCTGTCGAGATCGTGCGCTGCTCGGCGATAGATCGTGTGCTCCCCATTTAGACGTGTGAAAGTCCATGGTGTCGCCACGTCCAATGTTTTCCGCACGCCCAATTATGCAGGTGCGCCCGGCGTCTCTTGTTGTCCATTTGCAGCCGGCGTCTTTTTTTTGCTTACTCGTTTTTTTCTAGTTAGCAGAAGAATAGGACGTGTTAGTTTTATCCAGTTTCTAACTAGAAAAAAACGAGTCATAAACGTGGCAGCGGATTTCGCAGTCTCACTACCACTCATTTGTAATTCTCTTTTCGCTTTAGCCGCTCGTCTCCATTATCTCGTCTTCCGGCATGATTATTTCGCATATCTTCGCATAAGAGAATTCGTTATCACGTTTTTATGAGTGATCGCATTTGACATGTATGGCCATGTCTTAACTGCTCCTGGGCTACTTTTGATGTGTGGTACGCGTATGTATGAGTTTGGACAAGTACAGAGTGTCCCAAAAAATGTGTACACTGTTTGATTGTTAATAACTCTCTTGCTTTCATGTCTTTTGCCGAGCTTGAGGAACCGTTCTATAGAGCGAGGTTCAACTTAAATCTATAGTACGGAGCAATCTTCGACCGCTCTTTATTACTGTAGCATTACGGTAGGAACTTCGACAAGGATTTTAGGCCATTGTAGGCCATATTCTGTCTCGAAACAAAACCAAACAAGCCAAAAACTCTTGTACTATGGTAATGAAAACCGCTGATTTTGAATATGAAATTTCCACTTTACTGTGATGCTTCTTTCCAAGGTTATCTCAGGTAAATCGTAATTGAATTTCCAGCATTTGTCAGAAAGGCGATTACACCATCAAAATAGCCTAAAACACTTATAAAAAGTTGTGTAATGGAATCAGAATGCGCGAAAACCCTAGTATACGACTTTTTAGATTTTTTGAAAAAAATTTTGTCAAATGGTATGTTCCACAATAGATTCACATGCTAGAAGTTCATACCGTAATCCTACAGTAACGAACACCGACCGGTGATTCGCTCCATACTACAAATCTAAGCTGAACCTCGCTCTACAGATTGGTGCTTCAAGCTCGGCGAAAGACGTGAAAGAGTAAATGTCCGAGGTCGTACAGTTGAAGGATAATAACAGTTTATTGGAAATTAAGCAGAAGGCAGTATATGAATACTGTGAGCAATGAGATCTATATGCGAGGGGAAGCGAGGCTGCAGGGATGGCTGGCAGACGGTCGACGGGGCCCGGAGTCGAGAGTCGCCAGCTGTGGTCACTGTCGGTCCTTGTCTCCTCTCCTCAGCTTCTCAAACGTCGCATCTTGACACGCCCTGTAACTCCATGAGTCAGCTACAGTAACGAATTAGAAAACTGACTCACACTCACTCACACCTCCCTGCCTTAATTTAAGTCCGACCCGGACTTATACAAATATAGGCAAAACTCACTTAGGACTCTTAGAGGTCTTGAAAATACCGGTCAAGATCGACGTGAGGCACCACAGCATTGAGGGAGCGCGACCATTCCAGTACACGGCTCCAAAACGGAATGCGAGCAAGAGAGTCCGCGCGCCCAAGGATGAACTGGCCATGTCTGCAACGAGAAAGAGCTACATTCATGCGGCGGTAGTTGTCGAGGAATTCCGCAGAGTTGGGCTCGGCGTCCGTTCGAGTTGTCAGGACGACCACCACCTCCTTCTCCCTTCCCTGCACCGAGTCAACCGTAGCCATTTCGATGTTGAGAGAGCGGGCATGCGCGTGCATCTGACGATATTGTTCCCGATAGAAGGCGATGACCGCGATATCGGCCGGTTGGATTCCCTTCTCCAGCAGGTGGTTGACCAGGTTCCAGCACACCTGCGCCTCAACTTCATTGAAGTGAGACCGGTTCTGCGCTCTGGTTGAGCAGGCAGGGACATCGACGAACATGAACGGTACTTCAGGCGATGGGAAGCGCATCACTGAAAGGAGCATACCTCGATCTTCGGCTCTCACTCCCGACACCAACGATCCTTCATACGCTACCCGATTCGGGAGCTCGATCAGCGCGGGGTGGGATCTAAAGGTCGTGCGGAGAGGCGCGACAGGGACGGCTCGAGCATCTGTGAGGATCTTCATGGTGCTACGAGCGCCGTAGATCGCGACGCTAGAGTTTGCAGGGCCTGAGACGTGCGGTTCCAACTGATGTACGTCGCCGATGTAAACCTGACGCACCCAGGGAAGTAGCATAGCGAACGTCACCACCACCGGCTCAGGGATCTGCGATGCTTCGTCTCCGATTAGCACTGTGAAGCGTGCCATATGCTTCTTGAAAATGCCCTTGCGTCCGATGATGTTAATAAGAGACGACGTCGTCGCGAAGATGACCGAGGGCGCGTGATACCGGAACATGAGATCGACCATTTTCTTCAAATGCCGGGACACGTATTGATCGGAGATGAAGCATTCCTCCTTTTCTTCTTCAGACATGAGGAGGGCGCGCTCCGGGTCTCTCAGCAACCTCTCCAGTGCCTCCCTGCTCCTTTTGAATTCGCGGCATATGCCGCGTTCGGTAGAGGTCATGCGGTCGCCGTAGGTGTCATCAAGGGACTTCAGAATGACATTCAGATCAGCCGCCGTCGGGAAGGTGTTGTCGGCCGAGGCGGCGTCAGAAATGTATCGCACCATCCGTATGCCCTGGAAGTCATCGAGACCAAGCAGAGTGTCCGCGAATTGGGCGACTGCCGTGTTGGTTATAGCAGTGACGATGACGGATACGCCCGCTTTGCACAGGTGAGCGGCGAGGAGAGCTCCGACCGCAGTTTTACCTGTGCCGAAAGCGGCCTGGATCGCAGATATTGGATATTCGGTGAATCCAAGGGACATGGCGGCCTGTTGGTCTTGAGTAAGCGCGAGTTGACGACCCCTGAATCTGAAGTTGGTGCTGGTAAGCTGGGTGGCCATCGGCGTCTGTTGATTGGATAGAGCGCAAGACAACTCGGCCCGGCCATACATCGCATTCATGATACCATCTCCTCGGCTACCTACTGGCACGCTTTCTGGTAATTGTGCTCTTGAAATGCACGCGTACGCGGGCTGGGAAGCAGTCGGAGGGCGGCATAGCCTGACACAAATGAAAACTTTCCAGATGCCTTCGGCGGGACGGGCACGGTCCGATACTGCTCGAAAGAGGGCATTCTGCGACCAGTGGTAGGCGTGCACCGAAACCGTTAAGGTTTTTGCCGCAGGATCCATGATGACCTCGCGCACTTTGACGAATGCTAGAGTCGAAGCTCCATCGATCCATACAGCGACCGGACGATGTAGTGTCCAGCCTGCCTCGCTTGCCATATCGCGGAGAACGAAGTCCAACCGGAGGGGATAAACCGACAGGCTTGGAACATCGGCCAAAACCCAACGGCTTTGTTGATCGTCCGGCAGCAAGGTAAACGCTGCGACCCCGGAGCAGGACACATTGAACCATTTGAGCAATCGGCGCCTGGCCTCGTGGAAGAATCTTGCGAAGTTTTCGAATCGAGCGGCGCGATCTTCGAGCCATGCCAGTTCTTCCATGTTTGGGAGGAAAACGCGTAAAGGACGAACTCCTTCCCAGGGGTGCATCGGCAGAAACTCCCTGATAAGCTGGCAGAGTTGATCGCGAGCCGCGGTGGAGGCTGGGGGTTCGGAAAAGCGCATCGCGCTGGAAACGTTGTAACGCGCGTCCGCCAGGAGGAATTGGTACACCCTGATGGTTAGCAGATCAAAACGGCAGATGCCAGCGTTGACCACGACTGGTTCCGGAGCGCCTTCAAAGACGGCCTTAAAAGAGTTGACCCCTTGCTGATATCTTTTGAGAGCCATGACGATGCCAAAGACGCGGTCAATTTGCTCGCGGGGCGGTACGAAGGCAAAGTGCGATACCCGGAAGAAATAGGTCGAGGTGTTATTTAACGCGGTTGTGCGGAAAACGCGAGACCGAGTCAGCGCCTCTTCGGGGTGAGTGAAGGCCTGGTTGGACGGCTTGACGTCATAGACCCAAACGAAGTCTTTGATCGCAACTGAGGCCTTGTCGAATCCCTCCTGCCCGTTGGTGATGTCAACCGCCCGATTATCCATGATTATACAGTGGAGATCGCGCCGATCAGGACCCGGCAAGAAGATGTCCTTAGACTCGAGGATCATACCGGAACGCCATCCCAGGGAGACTACCTGATACAGGACTGGTCGTTTTCCACGCCAAAACTCAGGCCTGAGCATGTATCGTCGTGGTTCGTTCGTGGGTTGCACTTGGGGTTCCCTGAACTCATCATACGCTCCGTCTAATACATCTTCGATTATTCGCATAGAGTGCTCACGGAAGGCGATTGTGTCTTCAAGATGTTGAAATTCGATAAACGGCAGTTCGTGAACTGGGCGTCCGGCCCTAATGCCAATGCGCGGGAATAGTGAACGGGCGAACTTCGTGTTGTTATAGGCTGACGAAGGAAGGTGCCTGTAGTCGTCCACTGGCAGGTCTGGTACTGCTTGAATGTTAGGGTCAATCAACTGGTTATATGGACGGGGTTTGACCAAGTGAGCCCATGGGTGACGATTTATGAGATAGTGGTCAAAGTCTGGTGGCGTAAACTCCTGGAGTTGAGAGGGCCCAGGCTTGGTAACATGACGGATAGCTGGAGGACGGAGCTCGCGGGGCCGATGTAGAGAGACGGCACTCTCCGTCGCAGCGGAAGGACCTGGTGGAGGAGAGGTAGGTCGCTCCTGGATGTCGCTGGCTGCTGGGCGAGGCTCCCGCGCGTGTTGAGGAGCCGTGCGACCGCGAGCACGTGACGGAGTGAAAGAGGATGAACCTCTCGATGGTTCTGGTGAGCGTGCGCCTCTCCTGAAGCGGCTGGAGGAGGGACGCGACCCTCTGGTAGAAAACTGGTGTGAGCCTCTAGCCGGTGGGCGACGCTGTGCAGTTGTGCTGCCTCGAGACCTGGATGACGAAGGGAAGGGGGCTGGTACTGCTTGCTTCGAAGACCTCGCCCCTTCGCCAAAGTGTGGGGAAGCTGGGCGCCGCCTAGCGCCTGCTCTGCCGCGCTGTGACGAGGCGGAAAAAGGTGCGATCGCTACTGGTTCCGAGGAAAACGCGCCTTCTCCAAAGCGGGATGAGGACGGCTGAGAAGCTGGGGCTGGATCACTTTCCTGAGGTTCCCAGCCGAAAGAAAAGCCAGCAGCGGAGAAAGGCTGGGCGTGAGGGGGAGACGCCGGAGGCGCTTGCATTAATGTTGTAGCCGACGAGCTGGGCTGGGAAGCGGCTTGTGACGATGACGGAGGACCAGAGGAGTCGTCCGATGCCAGAAGTGCTTCCTCGGAATACTCCATGTGAGAACTAGTTATGAAAGCTGCCTCAGGGGACGAGAAGTCGTCGAGACTGATGGAAAGGTCGATCGACTCTTGAGCTGAGCTGGGAGTGCCCTGACGTTCGAGAACTGGACAGCCAGCTCTAACATCTGTGAGTCTGCAAGCATCGCATGGATTGGTGGCGGTATCCATGGGTGCGATTGCTTCATGAGCAGAGTAAGGCATTTCGTCGTACTCTAACATTGAGCATGACTCTCGGATAGCTTCACGTTTGTAAACTGGGCAAGTGGCCCGATACGATGAAGAAGACTCCCCTGACGGGTCGTCCATAGAGCGTGGCTCTTGAATAGCTTCAGGTTTGTAAACTGGGCAAGTGGCCCGAGAAGAAGAGTGGGACTCCCCTGATGGGTTGTCCATAGAGCGGAGCTCTTGAATAGCTTCACGTTTGTAAACTGGGCAAGTGGCCCGAAAAGATGGAGGGGACTTCCCTGACTGCGGGTTGTCCGAGTCGGGATCGCCCATTTACGATTGCAACAGCGCTTGAACGTACGAGTCGGGTTTACTCAAGTTTGACAATCTGAAAGTATTGGTTTGAACAAAGGGTTCCTGGAAATGACACGACACAGCACGCGACCACACACCAACCAACCACCACACAACATAGAAATAAAGAGTGAGTGAGAGGAAAGGTCAACCTTTTCTAGTCTACTGAAGTGAAAGCAACCAAAATGACCGGTGAGTAAAACAGAAGCGTGAGTTTGTTTCAGGTGAGCAGGTTAATGAAAGGAAAACGTGTAAATTGGTGAGAGGTGAAAAAAAAAGGAAAATGTTAAAATAGAAGTGTGAATATCAATAGCAGAATAATACCATAGATCCATTCGTGCTTGAATAGCTAAAGTGAGGTACGTCGAGACCTGAAACGAGTGTTATACCTATGCGATGGTTCAGGCGCAGGAGTGACCTCCGGGGGTGCCGGAATCGTGTGCGTGCGGCCTGGAATTTGGGTTTCAGATGCGTTAGCCGCGTCAAGAGCCTGTTGTTCTGGTTCGGGGAGCCATGGCGACGTAAAAACGGGACCGTCTATTGTAAAACACTTTTTAACTTGGTTCATGTGTACCCTTTTTGGAGGCGCTTGGGGAGACGAGATGCTAGAGAGCGTTAGATGAGGTCCCTCTATGGCGATGACGCGGAATTGACCTAGCCACGGGTTGCGAAGCTTTTGCGAAAAACCGATTCTAGGCGCGAAGTCTTTGAGGAATACACGGTCGCCCACTTTGATGGAGAGGGGGCGCGCTAGGGTACTGTCATGTTGGCGCTTGAAACGCTCGCATTGCTTTTGGTTATACGCAGCAGCTGCTCGCCAAGCCGCATGAAGTGTTGCAACTAAGTTTTCGATGTAAATGCCGCCATCGTCGTCAGACGGGGTGTGGCGCTCTAAATCATGCTTGACGAGTAAGTCTATGTTGAAGATAGGATCTCTACCAAACATTAAGAAAAATGGGGTGTTATTGGTGCTACTATGAACTGAGGTATTGTACATAAATGTGCAGGCAGCAACGTACTTGTCCCAGTCCGACTGATTCTCATCGATGTAAGTGCGGAGCATTGGGTGGAATGTAGCAAATACCCGCTCGCAAGCGCCATTCCCTTCGTGGTGGTACGGAGTCGTGAAGTACCGATTGATGCGAAGAAGTCGGCCAATCTCAGTCACCACTTCGCCTTTGAAATAAGAGGCATTATCTGAAATGAGTTGCGTCATGGCGCCATATTTGAGGATGCATTCATTCACAACCGCTTGCGCAACCGTTACCGCTGTACAGTCAGGAAGAGGAGCAGCGACTACAAATTTAGTAAAATGGTCAATCATGGCGACGATGTATTTGTTGCCAGAGTCGGACGTGTGAAATGGGCCTGTGAGGTCAATATAAACTTTTTCAAAAACACCTTGGCTGGAAACCGTGATGAGGAGTTCCCTGTTCAACTGTTGTGCCCTTTTGCGCTGACAGGCCTCGCATGAACGAGTTAGCAGGTAGATATCTTCTGCCATTCGCGGCCAGTAGTACTTGCGTGCGATTTTGGCTAGAGTCTTACGCCAATGAAAATGGCCGCCGGCGGAGGGGCTACTATGAAACGCCAAAAAGACTGGTTCGCGTAGCTTCTCAGGGACGACCAACCGTTCAAACTTAAGAGAAGAATGAGGTTTTGCATCGATGTGGTACAGACAGCCATTTTTGCGAAGTACGCACTGCTCGACGACTTTTAGCCAGGCACCTTTTTCCTCATCGGGGATGTTGTCTGGAAACCGCTGTGTTTCTAAAAAAGTCATAATTGGGGAACAAAAAGCGTCGTTTTTCTGTTCTACTAAGGCGTCGTAAGGGCGGAGAATTTGAGTGTTAGTAAGGTAGACCAGAGGAGTCCGAACTGAGTAAAGATGGGGCGCGCATTTGTTGATACTTACCGGGAACTCGACTATGTCGTTGCTGTCGTCAGCATCGTCTTCAAAGTGGACGCGCTTATCAACAGATCGACTCAAAGCGTCAGCAACCACGTTCGAGGAGCCCTTGAGGTACTTGATAGTAACATCATAACTCTGAAGTTCTACGACCCATCGTGCTAAATTATCGTGTGTTTTATTGTGCGAAAGCAAAAAGGTCAGCGGGCGATGGTCCGAAAAGATGGTGGTGTGGTTGCCATAAATGATTGCGCGAAAGAACCTCAAGGCACTGATGATGGCGAATAATTCGATGTGGGTGGGGCTCCACTTACGCTGTGCTTCAGAGAGGGCCTTGCTAAAGTATCCAACGGCCACTAGGTGATCATCGTCATCTGGTTTCTGAAAAAGCGCTGCGCCGACTGCTAGTTGGCTGCCGTCTGTATGAAGAAAAAACTCTTTGTCTTGGGGAAAAGCAAGGCAAGGTTTTGACGACAGAGATGCTTTCAAACGGTTGAAAGACTCTTCTTGAGCAAGATCCCAGGTGAATTTAGCATTATGCTTCAACAGAGCGTACAGCGGTGCAGCGATGAGAGAGAAATTTGGGATGAATTTGCGAAAGAAGTTAGCCATACCTACAAAACCTTTTACCTCTTTGATTGTTGTAGGAGTAGGAAAATCCCGGATGGCACGGAGATTCCTATCCGCTGGAGAATACCGCTGTCCGGAAATTTCGTGGCCTAAGAACGTGATGGTGGTTCTTGCGATTTCACGCAGCTTCTTGCCGGAAACCTTGATGTTAAAAGAACGGAAGCGATAAAAGACTTTCCGTAGTGAATGCAAGTGGCTGGGAAAATCCTTGTTGAAGATGACAATGTCGTCTAGATAAGCGAGGCAATTGTCCTCGAGACCGGCCAGGATACGAGACATGGCGCGAGAGAAATAGGCACCAGCATTCTTCAGACCAAAGGGAAGGTAGACAAACTGATATACGCCTCTATGCGTTGCCCAGCCGCATTTCTCTTGACTCTCTGGTGAGAGTAAGAGCTGCATGTAACCCGACGCTAGGTCCAAGGTTGTGTAGAACTTATGCCCGGAGATCTTGGCCAAGATGTCTTCAATGCGTGGCAGCGGGTAGTGATCAGGAATGGTTATATCATTCAATGGACGAAAATCAAGGCAGACCCGTAAGGAGCCATCCTTTTTCTTGACGAGAACGGTGTTGTGGATCCAAGGCGTGTCGCTTTCGACGATGCGCCCGGAGCGAAGGAGCTTATTAATGTGGTCGTCCAGCTCCTTCTGAAACTTGACGGGTATCCGAGGGGGACGGAAACGTGTAGGAGGAATGTCCGAGGTGGTCCTGATGACGATCTGCGTGGCTTCGTAAGATCCCAAGTCGTAAGTGTCTTGAGATATTCGATCGCTGAATTCGTCGAATAGTGCTGCTAATTGACGGCGCTGGTCTTCGTCCACTTCGGCTTCAGATAGGTCTACGTGAAAGGTGCGATTGTGTTTGAAAACTGGGCAAGAAGGCCCCTTAGCGAGCGTCCCTACATAAGGTTGGCTGCTAAAAGCAATGACGCGACAGATTCAGCGGTTGGTCTTCGCAGATGGAAAGTGGTGATGCCAAAGCTATTTGTTGACCTTTATACAGAATTTGGGCTTCGGACGACGGATTTGTTGCCAGGACCTGGATGCGACCCGAATGGACTACTGCCGGCGTAACCATGACGTTTTTGTTCAACAGCTGATCGGACTGTGACGTCAAGACGAATGCTGGATGCGGGGAATCGATGGTACACGGAACAAAGGTTTCGGACGTTGGCGAGAGTACGGTAGTTTCAGCTGCGCGGACTGCTATCGAAATATCGGCATTCTCGAGCAGAGTTTGAGCAGAAAGTATGTTGACGTTCTGGTTCGCAAAGTGAAACGTTCGGCTGCCATAGTGAATAGTCCAAGGGGGCAAACGAGAGAGGAGATCGTTGCCCATGATGATGTTGTAGGAGTCGGCGCTTTGAGGAATACCGGCTGATTCCGCAAAATAGACCTGATGATCGAATTGCACGGAACCGATATGGAAATGAAGCATAGCGCGACCGATGAGCTTGATGGGGATGCCTGCCATACCGAGAGCCGAGGGGATGTCGCTTGGAACGAGAGAGAAAACGCCTAGCAGAGGAGCAGTTTGACGAGATGTAATTGTGATTGCTGCTCCTGTATCCACCAACGCGAGAATATTGACGTTGTTGACCTTGATGGGGATCTGAGCGACGAAGAAGCGCTCCCCGCTGTTGAGAGCCAGTACGTTTACAGAAGAAAGAGAAGCGCGAGGAGGCCATACAGAAGAGGAATCTATAGCGACTTCAGCCAACTCGATAGGAGGAGGAAGAGCCGGGTGGATCATCGAAGGTAATGCAGGCGTGGATGAGGGCAGTTCTTGAACTTGAGGATTGACGAACTGCGCTTGAGTGCGCGCAATGGAAGGAATGGATATTTGTGGAAGGAGAGCTGGGTAATAGATGCGAAAATAGAGTATCAGCAGTGATTTTAGGAGCGCAGCGGTGGTGATGAAACAACAGACTGCGACCCATACGTCGAACGGTGACCATTTCCCGACGATGAAAGACCAGAAGGAGGAGGTTTCGAAGGCGGCTTCCTGTGGAACACTGTGGTATTGAGATGACGGCTGGTCAAGGTGAAGGAATTGCTCTTGATTGACGGTGGACCATAGCTCCGTGAGTTGGTGATCTTGTGTGAGCTCGCTAAGATTTGTGAGGACTAGATTGTGAAAGATTGTGAGAGGCATGGCTAATGCTGAGCCGTTGAACTCGGAAGAAGGCGATCCTATGGTTTCCAAGTGGGGAATGGGGAAGAAGCGACCAGAGACGGTGTCGAAACGAAGGAAATTATCAAAACGTGAGAAAAAGAAGTGTGGGACCGAATGACAATCTGTCGCCTTGGCCTCGCCGGAAATGACCATAGTAGTGGGATCGATGAAGAGTTGTAGAGTGACGCCAGTTTTGAGGACGAGTTTTACGCGGGGTTTGGAGAAGCACGTACCATTGAAGGGTAGGATAGAAAAGGCTTGAGGCGGTACGGATAAGCAACGGTGTATTTGTACTAAGCCGTTTCCCAAGTTGGATGCAGCAACGTCATCACGATCGAGCAATGAGCGGATGGTAGATGTAGGATTGTTGGAAAGAGACGCGTGAAGAGAGAGCGCGAGGAGATTGGTGCGGTCACATAAGGCTGTCATGGCGTGATAAAAGAGAGCTGACACGGCCGACTCGACGTTGTCCTCGACGGCTAAAAGCTGTGCTGCAAGTTGATTGGATAGAACGACACCGACCGGCGGAGCAGAGCGGACCATGCGACGTTTCGCAATGACGGCGTATCCTTGATCTGTTAAAGTGAGTGTCCTACCACAATCCTCTATTTGAGGACTGCCCTCGTGCCAAGAGAGGGCGAACTCCTTAGAGTCGCTGATCCAAATGTCGCTGAGCAGGTGGCCGCTCATCTTGGAAATGGAGACGTACTGGCACGACTCTTCCGTGTTAGGCGTCCAGATGAGAACGGATCCGTCCGGTAAAACGCAATTGCCGGAAGAATATGGGCAGTTGTGAAGATCGCCCACCGTGGAGTCGGGGAATTCGGAGCCGTGACGAGTGTGGATAACCGTGTTGATCAAATAGCAGTTAGTTACAGACGCGCGATGAGTGACGCAGCAACCAAACGGAGCAGAAGGCCAGGTAAATTGTAGCTCATGCGTCGTCGACCAGAAATCCGTATTGTCATGCGCCGTGAGGAGACCGTGCTTACATTTGTGATGGAGAACCATGTGTTTACAAGACTCAATGGAGACGACTTCGTGTACCTCGGCATGAGTTTCACTATGCGCGCCGAAAAAGTTGACATAATAGTCTACACTTTTGGTTACAATTTTGCACAAGTGCGCTGGAGTGTCATAACGCTGAGTGTTCGGACGGAAAACGTGGACTGCCATGGGAGATGGATGAGTGCTAGTCTGAGGGATGATGCGCGAACAATTGTAGGAAAGCGGTATGCGAGCAATTACATCAGAAGAATCATATGGACAAAGCCACGCTGGCGCGCTAAGAGAAGTAGCGGAACATGAAGGAAAGAAAAGCATCATGCAAACAATCAAAAGGCTAAGGTTTGGTGAGAGAATGGACTTGGAGGAAGAAGAAGGAGATCTGCCAAAATTGGAATTCGCAAGCTCTTCGTTTCTTTTCATGAGGGCTGAGATTTGCGCATCAGAATTATCGAGAGCAGATTGTTTTTCTTTGAGCGAGAGAGAGAGAGACTGGATTTGTTTGCGGGCTTCCAAAAGTTCATGAGTGTCATCAGAGGACACATTCAACATAGATGTGGATGGCAAAGAACGAGTTGGAAAACGACGAGGAAAACGATTATTGAAACGCTTACCTGTTTCCAACGCTTTAGGACGTGAAGATGGGCATTGTCGAGCCATATGTCCAATACCACCACACGAATGGCAGAAAATTCGACTAGGAATAGGTCGACCATTGGTATTGTCCATACTGCGTCCACGCCAGCGACTCTGGAATGGTTTACGTTGGCGAACCATAGGAGATGGTGTACGACTACGAAAACGAGTAAAAGAGGAAGGCCGAAAGTTCACTGTCTTGACGTCCAATGGTTTTGAAGCCAGCGAAGGGGTAATAAGGCGATCGGATGTAACTTCTGCCAGATACTGCTCAACCGAGGCCGCTGCATCTAAGGCTTCCTGAAAAGAAGAAGGGTTGCTATTACGTACATGAAACCTGATGTCCGTTTGCAGTCGGCTGACAAACTCATCCAAAAGGCGTTCTTCCTGTGAATGCGGATCCAGTCCCGCTGTGCTAGCCCTTACCAAACGAAGGAGACGATTGGCGAAGGCAAAGCACGATTCTCCTGGCTGTTGGCGGCAACCTGTCAGAGCCTGGCGGGCCAGATAACGGCGATGTGGACCCTCGAAACGTTTCTTTAGTTCAGCGACCAGTAACTCGTAGTTGTCCCGCTGTTCAGGAGTAAGTTGGTTGACTTTCTCCCTGGCTAAGCCTTGAAGGTGACCCTTCACCAACTTAGCTTTCGCCGCAGAAGACAGAGGAGTTGCCAGCATATCGAAAATGTCCTCCACACGAGAGAGCCAGTCCGAGAACTGAGTCGGGTCGTCGTCTGCACCGCTGAAATCAGGAAGAGGTGGAATTGGGATCTGGGTAGTAATATGTGGTGAACGACCGTCGATACGATGACTCATTGCCGCGAAGGACTGGTTCAGATCTTCCAGGAGCGAGGCATTATTGGCGTTGATCTTCTCGGCCAGATTGGCTGCCACGTTCCTGCTATCCGTCCATACTTCAGTGATAGCTTGTGCCGTAGCGTCGCGCAGTTCCCTGGCGTCCCGGCCTGAGATCAGGCCATCGTCGGTCACATTTGCCAACGACGCTGAGATCGGAGCTGCAGGAGCTGCGACCTGCGACGGCGGAGTGGCAGAATTTGGGTGTGAAAACTGGGCAAGATTGGCCCGAGTGTCCGCACGAGAGCGAGTTGAAGGCATGAACTGAAAGAATACCTTTGAGAAAGGAATGACTTGATGACGCGCAACATTACGGACGGAGAGTCGCATAACAGTGAGGCAAGCGAAAACTTGATGAAGGAGGAAAAGGAAGATGAACCGCCGAGTGCTGAGGCCAACGAAGGCGACATGACTGACTGGAAGGGGAGGGATCTGATAGCCGTTCCATGGATGTCCAGATGTACATAGAAAAAAAGTAGGTGATCTTGCAGCTGCGATATGGGGAAAATTATAAAAAAGTGGAATGGATGAAGAAATTTGTCACTGTGCAGCTGCGACAGTTGGAAGGCGAGTGGCAAGAAGTCCTGAAGTCAAAAAAGTCGGATGCCGGCCGGCCAGCTGCGACATTGAGTCCTTTTTAGCCAAGTGGATTACTGTAGACCGTCAAAGAAGCGTTTACAAAATTGACGGAAACGAAAGGGCATGCAGCTGTTGACTTCTTCCTCGTCATAGAAGCCAAAATCACAAAAAGACCCAGCTGCATCGGCGAAGTTAGACAAAGAAAAGCTGAGAACGGAATCCAGCCAAAACTGAAAGTTCCAACGAACTCTATCTACTTTAAAACTTTCACGTTCGATGTAAAATGGAACTATCTTTCTAAAACTGAGACGGACTGTGAATACTCCTTCAACTGGCGAATTTCCTGAAAGGATAGAAAATGGATTTTTGAAAACGTTCTGAATCCCAGAATTCCATAGAAAGAGAGCCAAAGCACCTGTAACACATTAATACGTGATTATCAAATATCCATGCCAAATTTAGTAGCCTTAGCCAGAGTTTGAAGGATCCGTGCGAATTATTGCATAGTAACGCTCCGATCGCACCAGTGAAACATACGCAGCAGACGCTGCGGCCGTATGTATAGCTCGGACGCCCTGCTACCCTTGAACGGCGGATGGCGCAGCGCGATGACTCCTGTCTCGCGTGCGACCCAAGAGAGGTTCAATTCCTCTCCGGGCCCGGACTTTGCAGATGTGATAGAAATATCGCACGGTGACCATTGCACAACCCCCAAGTAAAGTATTGCAAAGCCGGTGTGCAGCGCCTGTCCGTCGTTTCTTGGGGGGGTCGCCGCCCCCCGAACCTCGAAAGAGGGGAGGGGGGTCACTTCTGCTCACGAAACCGGCGCGGTTTTGCACAATGGGAGCGGGCGAGTGCGGCGGCATACACAATCAAAGCTGTGAGCGGCGACTGCAAATGGCACGATCGATTGATGGATAGCGCGAATGAGCTTAATGAGAATGAGTTACGTGTGAAAACTGGGCAAAATGGCCCAAGAGGCATGGCACCTTCCATACTTTTAACAAACATACAACACGTTTACACTGTTTACACTTTGCCGCGAAACTTATGACCAAAACGAAACAATTGTACGCTAACTTTTATGTGTGCACACCTAATGACCTGCATTAATTACTGACGCGTCACCGAGGATTTACGAGGCTAATCGATCAATGCGCGATGGAAGGGTGCCAGTCTCATTAACAAATGCGGCAAAGATTTACACTCGCGAGAAGTTACGTCTTCATAGAAGACCGTAATGCCGGCAAAATTGAAAACAGCGCATGCGCAAAGCTAAAAGCTCAACATAATGCAAGCGAAGCAGAAGCAAAGGAAGATCAAAATTGTGAGCGGTATTTTTGGGTTTTTGAAAGAACTGAAAGAAAAACTATGCTTCCGCTCATTGAGCTAAACTAAGAGGAGAGAGGAAGGACACAGTAATAATGAAATTGACGAAAACCCTACCTGTCTCGCCCATCCTCGCCTTGAAGTCCATCGCTGCTACCAGTAAATGTCCGAGGTCGTACAGTTGAAGGATAATAACAGTTTATTGGAAATTAAGCAGAAGGCAGTATATGAATACTGTGAGCAATGAGATCTATATGCGAGGGGAAGCGAGGCTGCAGGGATGGCTGGCAGACGGTCGACGGGGCCCGGAGTCGAGAGTCGCCAGCTGTGGTCACTGTCGGTCCTTGTCTCCTCTCCTCAGCTTCTCAAACGTCGCATCTTGACACGCCCTGTAACTCCATGAGTCAGCTACAGTAACGAATTAGAAAACTGACTCACACTCACTCACAAAAGCAACAGAGTTATTAACGATCAAACAGTGTTCACATTTTTTTGGGACACCTGTATATACAATGATTTTCTCTTTTTCATTTGAGAGAGTTGTTCATTTGTGCGTGCTCAGCTCTGCATTCCCTATAAGCTTGTTCACTTCAAGATTTTGGACCAATCATGAAAGCAATCTCCTACATGTTCTTCCTTTTCCTTCACGTAAAATGACTAACAAATTTTCCCTCAAAAAAGCTGGTCAATATTGGAGTGCAGTGCTTTCGAAATATTCTGTAACCAAAAATCATGAAGTCTCCACGACTCGAAGATTTTTCAGCAAATGAAGAAAAGATTGTTTTTCTCGTTTCAAGACACTCATATATGCCCATTTCCAAACTATAGTGTAACCAGTGCGTCACCTCTGCTTCGCAGAGGCTCGCACTGGTCCTACTCTATAGTTTTTGAGCAACATCTTCTCTTAAGGAAGGCAAAGTGTGGCACGCCCACAGCAGGTACTGGCTTTATGCACCCCATGAATATCGTGCCGTGCGCGTCTGCGCGCCCATGCTTGTCCTCAGAGCTAAACAGCGCCTCAAATTGCTTTGAACCTCCCCGGAAAATTCTGATCATGAAGAATATGATGTAAACAACTTCTGCGAGGTTTTCATGTGAAACCGGTAAAATTAGCGTGGAGATACTTTTTGGTGAACGGTTAGTGTAATTTTGAGTCCGTTTTATTGAAGCAATGTTGGCAATTAGAACAACAACAGATGCACACTGCATTTCCAGCCTAGAATATTTTCAGCTCTACAGTGAGTTTTTTGAAAATCAACAATCAATTGAGTCATCTCTTTCTGACGCCACTTTGCACGTAATTAACTTTTCGTTATGTATCTGCATTGAACTCCAGGGCTTAGAAGATGTCCAAGTTAAAAGTCTTACAGTTACTGCAGACTCGCATTAGGATCTCGTTTGCCTCAAATGCCTGGTGGATCCGTTTGACTCGCGATTTTCAACACGACCGAAACAGATTCGCTCACTTCTTTACGTAATTAACATGGGTGCTTCTGGCGTGCTATAGCCAAATCAGCTCGAAATCTTGGCTGCAGCTTGCGCTATGAATTACACTGATTCGCAGAGGCTCGCTGTGTCCTACTCTGTACGCCTTACTCATTCATGCCTTATGATGGTATTGCAACTCACCGGACGATGCCGAATATCGCGAATAAAATGTAAGCAACTACTCATTCCAAAAGCTTTTCCATGTGAGAACGGTAATTTTGAGAGGACGAAATTTGTCGCAGAAGAACAAATGCAAATTTGAATAGGTTCTTAAACTTTTTTCTGTCTAGGTAGTTTCTATAAGGACAATAAACTCTGAGCCACATCTCTGTGCAAAAATCTTTTCAAATGCTCAAGTAAAACCTTGGCAAATCGACCATCGAGCAATCAATACTTTTCGGCGTCGTTTTTGTAAAGTAGTAGACTTTTGATCCCTTTTTTGGACCAAAGCCCATGGCTTGCACATTGAGATGCCAAGCGCATCCACGACTTTGCAAAAAGTAGTGATATGGGTCCGATTATGTGGGCCTAAGGTCAATTGAACCCGGCTGACGCGCATTTTTTGAGAGATCCACGCAACGGATCCACTCGTGCTTTTGTATAGTGGAATCCTACATAGGTAGCATGCGCTGTGCAAAATTTGGGCTCAGGACGTCGGCTGGAACTCGCATTATGAATTTCGTGACAGACAGACAAACTTACACAACACACACAAAAACACGTAAACAACCTTAGCCCGTTATTATAAGTTACCAGTGCATCACCTCCGCTTCGCGGAGGTTCGCACTGGCACTCCTATCCATATGCTTTCCTCATGTTCGCATAATGATGACTTTGAAACTTACCGCGCGATGCTGAACATCATAAATGAATTGTAAACAACTGCTCGTTCTTAAAGATCTCCACGTAATGTCGGTAATTTTGAGAAAGAAATCTTTTTCGCAAAGGAACACCTGCGAATTCGAATGAATTACCGAATTTATTTTGGCTTGGTAGTCGTCATAAGGCTAGTGGTCACTTTGGGCTACATTTCCGTGCAAAAATCTTTTCAAATTTGAAGTTAAAACCTTGCCAAATCGACTATCTACGCGATCACCACATTTTGGCGCTGTTTTCGCAGAAAAGCAAACTTTTTGAGCATTTTTTTGGGTTAGAATTCATGAGGCGCAGATTTACTTGTCAGGCAAATCATGGCTTTGCAAAAAATTCAAATCTGGATTCAGTTTTGCCTGCTTAGAGCCGTGTGGATCCGCTTGACGCACAATTTTTGTGACATCAACGCAAGGGATCCGTACGAAATTTTGCATGATGGGCCTAGATGCTGGCAAGGTGCTATGACCAAAACTTCAGCCCAAGACATTTGCTGGAACTCGTTGTATGAATTTCGTGACAGACAGACGTACACACAGACACAGACAAACAGACGTAAACACCCTTAGCCCGTTATTATTAAGTCATATCATAGATGATTGCTGGGATTTCTGAAAAGTAGTTGGTAGATGGAGGCTAGGTCTTGCTTTACTCTATCACCTACAATGCTTGACCCAACAGTTGCTTTCGATTACAGAATGTTGCCTGGAACTTTCTTATAAAATATTAGTCTTCGATAACAAATTCTGCGAGTAAGACATATTTACATACTAGTTGATCTGCCCGGTCCAGCCCGGGAATGATCACTGATCGGGAATGAAGATAAGGTATTCGGTGGCATTGTAGAAACTGTGTAAAGAACAAAAACAAAATGTGAACACTTATTAGTCGGTAGCATATCTCTCTTTCTCCAAATCAAGTTCAACATGCAAAACCTAAGCAAGCAGCGCGAGTTAATTTATAGCAGCGCTCATTGTTATTATGAGGATCATTTTTTGTGAGACTTTGCCGCTAACCGGCTACTTCATCTTCATTCACTGCTTGCCGTCAATTTTTGTGGAGTCGGCAGTACTTTGCACTCGCGCACTTTCCTGGTCCCAGGGATCAACTATAGCGAATGTGAGTTGTCGCTTGTCTTGTCTTTGTTTCAAAGAGTAAATAGCTTTATAACCTTTTCTCCACTTTGTGCATGACATAAATTAACGCTCCCTGTCTTATGAGATAATCGTTTGACTGTTTTTACAGTCGTTTGACTATTCACTACAAAATTCAAAGCCTTCACTTTTGTGGACGCTGTTTTGACGAACAAAAGTATGACGAATATTGATTGGCTCACACTGACATCACAACAGTCCTTTTAAAGGCAGCGCCCAGGCAGATCTGGACCTATGGGGATTTTACGTGGATAGTAATTTTGGGGCCCTAACTAACAAGGGAAGTTCACTTAGTCGAAATGGCGATTCGGAAGGAGATCTATACCATTGGATAGAGCTTAAAAAGCTGATCTCGGATATACCTTCTATATCTGCGATGTGTTATTCTGAAAAAAGTTATGAGCTTTTCTAAAGACAAATTTTCGTACATTTTGAGTCCCAAAATCATGATAATCGCCATACAAAAGCGTGCAAGCTTAAGCAAACCACCTAGTAAGCATTGTAGGTCTAATTCGAGTCTATCCGAACTTTCTGAGTGTTTTCCGGCCATGTTGTTTATTCACAGACCGTCATTTCCGTCCTAGATCACACTTTTATTACATATACAAAATAGGCCATAACCTCCATCTAGAAAAACGCGTCGCAGATATTGAAATTGTATTTGAAAACATCGTTTTACGTTCTATTCATTGACAGTTTCCAAAAAGTTTCCGACGCGACGCATTTTTCTAGATGGAGGTTGTGGGGCTTTTTCTTTTTTTGCATACATAATGAAAGTGTGATCTAGGAATGAAATGACGACCTGTGGATAGACAACATGGCCAAAAAACATTCGAAAGCGTTCAAATGAACCCGAATTAGAACTACAATGCTTACTAGGTGGTTTGCTCAAGTTTGCACACTTTTGTGTAGCGATTATCATGATTTTGCGACTCAAAATGTACGAAAATTTGGCTTTAGAGAAGCTCATAACTTTTTTCACAACAACGCATCGCAGATATAGAAGGTATATCCGAGATTAGCTTTTTAAGCTCTATCCACTGGTATAGATCTCCTTCCGAATCGCCATTTCGACTAAGTGAACTTCCCTTGTAAGGCACTGCCCAAGCGACCGCACAGGTAAATCACTAACGGCAGAGATATGCGCCTTCATAGTGGACCCCAGGAACTGTTAGCATGGATCCACGGCAGTTTCGCCCGAGGACCCAGCTTTGCGCCATGAATCCATGCGAAGTACGATCCCGGGGTCCAGTTCCGAGGAGAATAGCCGTTAGAGCACTATCTGAGCTGCCGGTTGGGCAGTGGCTTAGTTAGGGCCCCAAAACTGCTATCCACGTGAGATCCCCATGTGTCCAGACTTGCCTGAACGCTGCCTTTAATGCGTTATAGCCACTCGCACCATAAAGTCAATGCGTTTTGCAAAAGACATGAAATGTGGAACTTACATTTCCAAACGCTTTTCACCCTGCTTTGATGACAGAGGTTTAGAATGAAACATACTGCTCTTGCTACATGATTCGATGAAAATGATATGACAGTGCCGCTTCATTTCTCTACTTAGGTTGCAAATAATCAATAAATCGATAGAAGGACCCACTGAATTGTCGCAAAAAGTAGCCTATCTTTTGCGCCTGGACTCATTTATAGGGGAGCAAATTTCAGGCCTCATCGGTTCACAAACAAAGGAGTCTATAAGCCACATACTTACATACTAACAAATTTACAGAGATTGAGTTTTATTTATATACCAGTGCGTCACCTCTGCTTCGCAGAGGCACGCACTGGTCCTACTCTATAGTTTTTGAGCAACATCTTCTCTTAAAGAAGGCAAAGTGTGGCACGCCCACAGCAGGTACTGGCTCTATGCACCCCATGAATATCGTGCCTGCGGGTCTGCGTGTCCATGCTTGTCCTCAGAGCCAAACAGCACCTCAAATTGCTTTGAACCTCCCCGGAAAAGTCTAATCGTGAAGAATATGATGTAAAAACCATTCATTCTGCGAGGTTTTCATGTGAAACGGGTAAAATTAGCGTGGCGATACTTTTTGGTGAAGTTAGTGTAATTTTGATTCCGTTTTATCAATGTGATGTTGGCTAACTAGAACAACAACAGATGCACACTATATTTCCAGCCTAGAATATTTCCAGCTATACAGTGAGTTCTTTGAAAATCAACAATCAATTGAGTCATCTTTTTCTGACGCCACTTTTGCACGAAATTAACTTTTTGCTATGTACCTGCGCTGAATTCCAGGGCTTGGAAGATGTCCAAGTTAAAAGTCTTACAGTTACTGCAGACTCCTTGCATTAGGATCTCGTTTGCCTTAGCATATGCTTGGTGCATCGTTTGACTCGCGATTTTCAGCGACCGAAGCAGATTCGCTCACTTCTTTACATACTTAACCTGGGTGCTGCTAGCGTGCTACAGCCAAAAAATCAGCTCTAAATCTTGGCTGCAGCTTGCGCTACGAATTACACTGAATCGCAGAGGCTCGCTATGGTTCTCCTCTGTACGCCTTACCCATTCATGCCTTATGATAGCATTGAAACTCACCGGACGATGCCGAATATCACGCATAAAATGTAAACAACTACTCATTCCAAAAGCTTTTCCGTGTGAGAACGGTAATTTTGAGAGGACGAAATTTGTCGCAGAAGAAATGCAATTTTGAATAGGTTTTTGAAACTTTTTCTGGCTAGGTAGTTGCTATAAGGACAATAACACCCTGAGCTACATCTCTATGCAAAAATCTTCTCAAATGCTCAAGTAAAACTTTGGCAAATCGACCATCGAACAATCAATATTTTTTGGCGTCGTTTTTGTGAAGTGGTAGACTTTTGATCCCTTTTTTGAACCAAAGCCCATGGCTTGCACATTGAGATGCCAAGCACATCCACGACTTTGCAAAAAGTGGTGATACGGATCCAATTATGCGGGCCAAAAGCCAATTGGACCCGGCTGACGCGCAATTTCTGAGAGATCCACCTAACAAATCCGCTCGTGCTTTCGCATGATGAACTTTTATGCTGGTAGCATGCGCTATGCAAAATTTGGGCTCAGGACGTTGGCTGGAACTTGCGCTATGAATTTCGTGACAGACAGGTATTCAGACACACACACACAAAAACACGCAAACAACCCTTAGCCCGTTATTATAAGTAATGATAGATTAAAAATGAAGTAGAGCATATGCTAGCCCATTAAGCTTTTTGCGTAAATAATACAAAAGCTTTAACTTGTCTGCGCATTGCAAAGATTGTCTTACAAGATTATTTTCTAGGTGAGGTCGTATTTCGCCACCAGGAGTCGTGAACCTGTAATCTTGTTAGACTGAGGATTTTATCAAAATTGGAAAGAGTGGGAAAGAGAAGAAAAACGCTTCGTAGTAATACAAATATGGCTGCTGCATAAGTTCTGTCCTATTTTTTTGCCTTATGTTTGAAGCAGCTGTTCTAAGAATATTTCTTCTCTAATGCGATACTATTAGTATCATTAAAAAGTGCTTTTCTTGCTTTTTCTAAGGCATATCAAAGTTCAATAAATTTTCTAGTCCAAGGAAATTTCAGACCTAAAATCTCTAAATGGCCGAGGTAGATTCTTACTCTAGAAATATGTTGTTGCGAGGAAATCTCCACAATGCTCCTTTCAAGTCAAGTTCTTTAATTGGTCACGGAATGAGGGTGTAGAACGCTAGTATATGCAGAAGCTCAGTTCCATGAAGAAAAGGTCTTGCTAGTAAAATTTGTTGTCGAGCAAATTTTTCATATAGATGTCTTACAAGCAATACTGCGAATAGAAGTAAGCGATGAGTTCAAAGTTGGAGATGCTAGGGTAAAGCAAGAGCTAGCAGGGCCAATCCACCAATTCCTTTTCGACGCTCACTCAATTGTAAAATTGTCATAATTCTAAATAGGCATGCACATATGCGCTGAAGCGAGTTCAAAAAGTGGCTTCTTTTTTGCTCGGTCAAAAAAAATCTCTTGGCAGAGCAGACCCTATGGGCTCTTTTATGTTGCACAATAATCTAAGGAAAATTTCTCTATCTATCTATTGTTAGGCTAGATGCCTACCAATTCTCATAAGGGAGCATTGCCATGTCAAAAAAGACATGCTTCTTCCTTGAAAAGGATTTTCGCAGGTATCAATATGTGTCTGTAGTCAAAGAACTCCTCGAAACATAAAAACTAAGATCTTGGAAAAAAGCTGACTTCTAAAGAAGTTATGACATTTTGAACTCAAATAATTCAAATCGGACAGAACTTATGCAGCAACCTAATATTATCGCACGAAAGCGAGGATCTCTTAGAACAGCTGCTTCGAAAACAAGCAAAAAAGGACAGAAAGCATCTGGCATTTCACCGTGATGTTCAGGCTGATGAGAGTTGAGAGAACGCGTTTTGACATCAAGCACTGGTTGCAAGTTGCGAAACCCCTTGTATAGTTTCCCGTCCATCTAATTTGTATGAGTCCTAATTCATTATACTCGAAGATATCTGATTCACAACTTCAGATCCATGTTGGAACTACACTCCGCTCATAAAGCTTCATTATTCATACCAGGCTTCAGTATCTAAACATTCATAGAGTCTTTTTTAAAAGCAATCTTACGCGCATTTTTTGCACATCAGTGCGTCATCTCTGCTTTGCAGAGGCTCGCACTATGCCTTCCTTGCTTAATGGAGTCTGATTTCTTCACCGGGTAATGCTGACTATTAGGATTAAATTCAAATATACAACTTTCCTTCAAAGCATTCGCAATGTGGAATTGTTGGCTCTGGACTGTGAAAGAGCAGGGCATCAGCACTCTGTTTCATTTCAAAAAGTATACATGATGTTTGAAGCCTTTATAGAGGATTTTCTTATTTTCTTAAGTTCTATTTAAAAAAACAGCCGAATGCTTACGCAGCTATATGTTTTTGGCGCCCTGTTTAGGCAAAAGAGGTACGCATGGAAAATTCTCATCACTGTTGTAGAAATCGCACTTTTGCGCATGTACGATTGTGTGCTGCAGCTTCAGCTGTATCATCTAGGGCTTCTGAAAGAGGAGCAGTATTGCAGTGTTGGGCGTGCTCCCCCCTCCCTCCAAATATGGGTCGCGAAATCTTTAACACATCCTCATTCTCTATAATTTCGGGGTTATGGGCCCGCAAAACTTTGGAAAGAATATCAAAAAATTCTTAAGAGCGCATGTCTAGTGCCATGCATATTCATTCCAAAAAACTTTTGTCGCCCCCGCCCGCACTCCCCAATCCAAATCGAAATCCTGGGTACACCACTGACACATAGCTATCGTAGCACATAACTTTTGGTCTTAACCAAGCAATCTAGGAATGCGTTGGGGAAACATGCATTCATGTATGGAATGAATATGCATGTATTGAGAGTGTAACTGACTGAACCGCTAGAGCAAGTGAATCACGTTCAACGCTTCCGCACGCGTCTCTGGCGTTTTGCACTTCTTCCTTTTCTGACAGCTGTCTTTTGAATAGGGCAATGTCATCATATTAATCGCTTGATAGACTGCTGAGTCCTGACTAATTCTCGCATAATGTCTTATCAAATTTGATGTTCTTTTTTCTAACAGCTTTCTGTGTTTTGCTGAGGTAAAACCAAGCTAAGAATACCTGGAAATCTTGACTGCTTGAGCAGTGCCCAACAATTTATATCTTACAAATGTCATTTGTTTATTTGACAAGTCGTGTCAATAGAATGCAGCAATTTTACTGGCCAAAATCAAGTTCACATCCTTCCTAATTGTGCGCTTTCCAATCGGTCGCAGTCTCCATAAAATACTAGTCTAATTATGCCTACCCTTCATTTAGAGTTTTTTACCAGAAGACTCATTTGCAAAGCGAGAAATATCCTTCTAAAATGGTTTTGCGAACTAACTCATTAGAAAAAAATACAGCTTGCAATTCATACATAACATTCTGTTCTGTCTGATCAGTGCGCGGAAAAAGCAATGAGATTAGAAAATCACAATTTTTGCATGATTTTTTTACAAACATGTTCTACTGCTACCGTAAACTCAGAAAATTAGGAAACTCATCCAGCAACTAGTATATTTGATATTCATACTCTGCCAAAAAAATCGTATCACTACATGACTGCTCGTACCTCCTTATAAGTTCATTCGAGTGTAGAGAAATCCTAAACTTACTCTCTTTTAAACTGTGTTTGCTTTAAAGATGGTATCCGTCTGGGTGCTCTATGGATTAATGTTGACTGCATTTATTTTCTTTGTGAGCTACAACGTATACGTCGAACAAAATGCGATGACGCTGGATCAAAGAAAGTTAGTGATGGACCTGTGTGTTGTCGTTCAAACATGAAGAAGCTAGTTCAGATTTCCAGGCGCACCAAATGTTCATGCAATAAATGCTGTGAATTTATCTACCATCAGAAATGTGGAGGATCATACAATCGGATCGTGTGAGTTTTCGTCTTTTGTCTATTTTTGTTTTAACGCTCACCGTAATACACTCTACCTTCAATGGTGGTCATTTACCAACTAAGTTCCGTGGTTTTTATCAAGGGCTTTTCAACAAACCCACCACAAACCCACCTCAATTGAAATTATCAGTTTTATATGCAGAACAGGATCACATATACTAGAGTTTCTTCTTTAATTTATGTTTGCTAGCAGAAACAGATTGCTTTTCATGTGTGAAGTGTCTTTTAAATACAAAAATAGACAATAGATAGATATTTTTATACCAGACAATACTTTTAGATACATATATAGATACATATACAAGGTATATCAATTGCAGTGTCGGGTGCACTATCAACTCCACAGTACTCTGCATCTCTTCCGTGAACATGCTCTCTATTTCCCACGCTTGCCTTGCAAAGTGATCAGAAAGCATGTTCTCGGAAGAGGTGCAGAATCCAGGCGCAGCGGCCGCGCGGGAGCGGAGATGCTGCTACACCCGACACTGCAGTTGTTAAGCCCTGTATACATACTTTGATTCACATGAGATCTCCTCAGAGGAGGGCTTCTTGTGTCGCTTGATAATTGAAGCGGAGTTGGGACAGGAATCCGTCGTTAGGGCTTACTTGGAATTATTTTTAAGATCTCTCATTGCCCTGGAACCATAGTTTTTAGACTTTGTAAAGATTATACATATAAAGTCGCCATTCGCTTTTTTTAAAATTGCTTGAGTAAAGCGTTTGAACAATAAGCGTAAAAGGATTCCGATAGAGCGTGGCGTTAGCTAATCAGCCAATCGCAAGTTCCGTTAATAGAGATTGGCAACCGAAAATTTGTTGATACACTCAAAAGTAGAAAACCTACCCCTTTTTCTGAACATCATTCAACACTTCCACGCTTTGACACTTTTCTCCATCTGAGGATTGATGGCCCAGTATTGTTTCTGATAGTATCTGTTGTTAAAAGATTTGTGTTTACCATTCATTTATTCATGAAAAGAAAAAGAACGATTCACAATTTTGTAGATGAACAACAGAAAATACAACAGAAAGGTGACGTCTTTGACGAATGCCCGTTTGATCCACCCGACCCGTGGCACGACTCCATATTAGAGTACGTAGAAGTCAAATGGGGATTCGAGCCAGTGAGTTTTCTCAAAAGCAATATCTAGTGCTATGAAGGTGATCGCTATAAAGCTAGTCATTGAGCGATTATATATTATGGTTTCATACAGGCATGCGCTGTTAATGGAGCCTCGGAACCGGTTTTAAAGTTTGTTAACAAAACCCTCAAGTTGCTTCCTGGCAAAGAGGGCTTCAAGTGCATAGCAAGGTCGGTCTTGAGTTTAAAATTTACCTGTTTGAAGGAAGCGGTGCTTCGATTAAGTTTGAGTCAAAAATTGTCTTTTAACATCCCTTGCATACAGTTAGCGAAACCATATCTGCCCAGGACTCGGGACGGGGTGGTACCATCCCTATAACATCTCAACACTATTATGACATGCCTTACTCTTAGAGAGAAAATAAGAAGAAAGAATAAAACGTTGGAGAAAACATTGAAACTTTTGAAACGGTGTTGTTTGTACAGCGTGCTTTGGCAGCAGCATCTCCTGTGTCGCGCGCAACAACACGTCGCTTGAAGCAGCATCGCTGTCATTTGGAAATTTTGGGAGGTTGTAACTAAATGGAGAGAAGGAGGGGGGGGGGGAAGAGGCGGTTCAGGAACTAGTTTGTAGGGTTTTAAAGCAGATGAAAGTCATGTAAAAAGTGCGACAAGACTGTGATGGGAAGGAGGAATATTGTTTCCTCTGGTCCATCTCAGATGGGTGTCCGATAACTCCAAAGCCACCTGACTACGAAGAAACTTTGCTCACTATCACTTCACATAACTTTTTCATAATTTTTCATACATTGTTTCAAATTTCCGTTGCGCACAACGTCTTACCAAATTTGGTGCGATTTCATTTCTACGTTGTAAATAAGTCTTTTGTTTATTTCGGGCACACTTTTTTGAAAATTGCTTGCACAGAGAGCTTATTGGAGCGAAAAATTCTTGGGTTTACAGATATAGAATCTACTAGCTGGCTTGCCCGGCTCCGCTCGGCCCTGTGAAATCACTGTGATATCTTACCCGTATCTCTGTACAACTTTTCCCCGTGCCAACGTCTACATGCCATTTTCCTATTCCCGCTGTTTTAGTAATCAGCATGCTCGATTACCCCCCTGTGCCAACTCTCAGCCCCGTAGCTCAAACTTTGCAAAGAATCGATAGAAATCGATAAAATCGATATCGTTCGATGACGAAAAGTAGCCTATGACACCCGCCCCGCCCTGAAGTGTATGTGTGCCAAGTTTGGTCCGAATCGGTTGAGAAATGGAATTTTTTATTCGGAACATACGTACATACATACAGACATACATACAAACAGACATTCAGCTTTATATTTAGGACTAGTTGGCTTTTCCGGTCTAGCCGGGGCCATAGTTCACCGCACTGCGAGCCTCCCCCCCCCCCCCCTATATGATATGGATGACTTACCTCGGGACATCCGCTTGGAAAGCGCATCCACGTGATCTTGGGTGAAAATGAGATTCACCGCCCTCCTTTACATGACTATGGAAAATGCTTGATTGGACATGATAAGCCTTCAGTTTCTTAGGAAAATGTAAAATCAGTAAATCGACAGAAGGACCCAACGAATCGCCGCAAAAAGTTATTCTGCCCAGGGGTCGAAAAAACATATGTGTGCAAATTTTCAGCTGAATCGGTTGAGTGGCGCGCGTTTCTATAACGCACATACACTCCAAATTGACAATTTTTGAGTTATATATATATATATATATATATATATATATACACTAATGCTTCTTCACCTCTGCTTCGCAGAGGCTCGCACAGGTCCTACTATCCGTAAGCCTTACTCATTCCCGCAGACATTGAAACTCACCGCGTTATTCGGACTATCACGAATGATTTGTAAATAACTATTTATTCCAAAAGCTTTTCCATATGGGATCGCTAACTTCGCGTAGACGAAACTTATCCCAAAAGAACAAATGCAAATTTGAACCGGTTTTCGGTCTTTTATGGCTTAGTATTCGCCACAAGATGCAATAATCACCGTGGGCTACTTCTGTGCAGAAATCTTCTTAAACGATAGGGTGAAATCTTGGCAAATTGAACATTTACGCAACCAATTCTATTTGGCGCCGTTTTCATAAAGTAATAAACTTTAGTTCAATTTCTAGGCTAAAGTCCATGACTTGCACATTAACACGTTGACGATAGTGCCGCGCAATGGTGCGCGGCAGGCAGTCTGTCCCTGTGGACGACGCCGCGCAATGGTGCGCGGCGGCCTTAAATTCAATACTATCTGTCCAATCCTCTCAGTTTTTGTTCATATAATCAACATAGGCTCAGATGTACTTCATGTATTAGCCCCGCCCCTTTTGGCAAACTCCGCCCACTTTTATGCCTCTGCCTCTGCCTTGTCAAATATATCCGTAACTTTGCAAGAAGTTGTGCTAGAGGCTCAAATTTACTGGCTAAAGGCCAAGTGGATCCGATTGACGCTCATTTTTGAGAGATTCACGCAACGAATCGAATCAGCGATCACTCACTGTTACTGTAGGATTACGGTAGAAACTTGAAACATATGGTGTCAATGTGGAAAAAGCTGTCGTTTCAAAATTTTTCAAAAAAATGTGAAAACTTGTGTAATAGGGTTTTTATGGACGCTGAGTTCAATACTCAACTATTCACAAGATTGCGAAGCTTTCTAAACGGTGTAAACGCAGTTTTTAGGAACATTGAAAAAATGGCCGCTACCTCTTACCTGGCATAACTCTTTAATGGAGCATCAATAAGTTGGGAACTTCACAATTAGAATCAGCAACTCTAATTAGCCTAGTGTCATAGTTTTCAGGCTGTTTTGTTTCCTTTCTGAGGCAAAATATGACCTTTCATGGCTCAAATCCCTCTTTGAAGTTCCTGCCGTAATCCTACAGTAATGAGAGGAGACCGGCGATTCGCTCCATACTGTAAATCTAAGTTGAAGCCAGCTCTACAGTATGGTGCTTAAAGCTCGGCAAAAGACCCCCTGGGAACGGAATTAACGATCAAACCGTGCATACATACTTTACGGACACCCTGTATATTTTTACCTTGAGTATTCATTGAATAAAGCGCATTGATAAAGTCGATTGCATGAAATCGCTCATATCGCTGTAAGCTGAACGCACGCGAGCGCGTGCTTACAACGCGACTGCCGAGTACGGCGTTATGATGCGCGCGAATGTCAATGTTAGCCCGCAAGAGACACGGTTGCGGGCGTTCAGTCTGGGCGATTTCGTGCAGTAACTATGGATATTATTAAAGCTCCACCAAAGTGCTACAAAAAATATTAGCGTAGTTCTACGAGTAAAGGACGCTCCTTATCCATTTTTTCAAGCAAGCTTGTCGGCGGCACCTGTCGAGAAACTCGACCGATATTTTCCGTTTGATGATTGACTTTTGATTGCCTTTGAAAGCTGAGCGCGCGCAAGCCCTTTCTTTGCACTGTTGCAGCTGCGCCAAGTATCAAGTAAAAGCTAGGGGCCGCCGCAGCCGACGACCTCCTCCTTTCATTCTTGACTTTAGCGTCATTTAGATATCATTGCTTCATCATTGGTTGTGAATTATATCCACTTCCAATTTTAGTCCCTTTATTTGCTTTCAATATATTCAGGCCAAAACAATACCAATCGTATTTTATTACTAACGTTTTGCCGTAATAAGAATCTCTTGTTATGCTGGTACCATATTTCGCTCACCATATTGTTTATTTGAATGTTATATTTGTTAATAAAGGTTTGTTTCTCCAAGTTTGAGGTAATCTCCTCGTGCACAACTCCAACAATCCAAAGACTCGCGTGGCAACAGCGACCACTGTACATCGACCCCTATTCATTATAGCACTACTGTGCCTCGCGAAATGGCGCTCTTCCTCACGATTCTTTTAAATACGGAGCAGCAAGTTACAGGATCTTTTAGTCGCGAAATTTTATGTTCGGGCTAGTCCACTTTAAATAAAATACGTGGGTGTTGTACTCGTGGAATTAGACTATTTTTGTCCTAAATGCACGCTCATATTTTTGCACCAATAAACGCTCATAACTCTCGTCAGCAAACATTCCGCGAATTAAGAGGGAAGATTTGGGATTATTGAAAACCTTGTATAATGCCTTCCAATAGATATACAGGGTGTCCCAAAAAGATGTGCACACTGTTTGGTTGTAAATAACTCTTTTGTGGTGAAGTGTTTCTGGAAGCTTTAGGTGCCATTTTGTAGAGCGAGGTTCAACTTAGATTTACATTGTAGAGCGGATCGCCGATCTCTCATTCTTACTGTAAGATTACGGTAGAAACTTTGAAGAGGGTTTTGAGCCATGAAAGGCCATATTTTGTTCCAAAAAGAAACCAAAACAACCTGAAAACTCTCACACTGGGCTAGCTAGAGTTGCTGATTCTAAATGTGAAGTTCGCAACTCTTCCTAGTGCTTCATTAAAAAATTATGCGAGGTAAGCAGTAGCAGACGTTTTTTAAGTGTTCCTAAAAAGTGCGGTTACACCGTTTAGAAAGCTTCTCAACCTTGTAAAGAATTGGGTATTGAACTCAGGGTCCATAAAAACCCTATTACACAAATTTTCACATTTTTCTGAAAATTTGTGAAACGGCCCCTTTTTTCGCAGTGACACCATATGTTCGAAATTTCTACCGTACTCCTACAGTAAGAATGAACGATCGGCGATTCGCTCTACACTGTAAATCTAAGTTGGACCTCGCTCTACAAAATGGTACCTAAATCTTCTCGAAACACTTCACTACAAGAGAGTTATTTACAATCAAACAGTGTGCACATCTTTTTGGGACACCCTGTACATGCCATCTAAAAAACCACCTCGACTAAAATACTTCCCTTGTAAGCTGACACATGCATTTTTCTCCGGCGCTCGGCCCCGGAACCCGCAAAACCGACATCGTCTATGCTTATTGCTTCCAGAACGATAACCAGGCTTGCCCCTTAAGCTACATGTTTGAGTCTAATACTCGTCCTCGGACTGCCCTAAAAACCTTCATTAAATGGTACACACCTCCATGTTAATCATCTATTATGGCTAGCTCTTGCGCATGACAGTTGCGTTGGAAAACTGTCACAACCGAAATGCGAGATGACCAGCACTCAATGACTCATAACAGTTACCTCGTCGGGACATCACGAGACGTAAAATCGCTAATGTATGCTCGACCCTTGAGAGCTGTTCTGCTGGACTCCTGATAATTCAATTGCCCTTATTTATTCTGTTACAAAAAATCGAGTTTGCTTGAATTTCTAGTAAGTGGTAGCAGAGAGTATATATAGCTTTGAAGATTGCCGTTAACGCTTTCACTAATTTAGTTACGTTCCACGACGATTCACAGTACGACTAGCATAACCCACTGTAAGAGTTGGCCTAAACCGCACGGCGTACGCGACGTACGCAGCCTTCGTTGCGTTCGCTGATACCAAAAATTTTGTCACCCGGCCATCGCTTACGCTGCGTACGCCGCGCACTCTCGGACCCTAAAAATTGAGCCAGAGCTAACGTATTACGTCGCGTTAGCAACGCTGCGCATGCTGCAAATTTGCACGTGTAAAAGAGTTCCTATAAATGTGCGGTGGCAGCGTACCCAGCGCATGCATCGTACGTTGCGAAGTTTGACCCCATCCTAAGATTAATCAAGCAAAGTGGATGTCAGATTCGTTATCGCCAAGTTAGTAACTTGAGAAGCGGAAGTACGATTTTAATGGAACATGCGTAGTGCTGCTCGTTTCGTTTATGTCTATAGTAAACACACTCCAAGCAAATGTTTGCCTCTTCTATTTATCACCTTGAGCAACCGTTGAATCAACAGTTGCTCCTGTTCTCATATAAGGATGATCAATTTGTACCGATCACCTATACTGGCGGCACCTGCATCAAATAATTCAGAAAACAAATGCGCTAGTCGCAAATGTTTTAAGGGCAAACTCGAGTGTTTTACGTGCATCTATATAGAGACAAGATGAGTAATGCTTACTTTTTAGGTGTCTGACATATCGCAGCGATAATGCTTATAATGCAGGGAGATGGATGCAGGTTGAAGATCAGTCCTTTGAGTGTGACTTTGTAGAAACGGAATGCAGACTTGAACGTTTGAAGAACCACTTCGTTCACATGCAAATTTCTGAGCAAATGTGGGTGGATTTCTCACATTAACGTTTCAGATAATTTTGCTTCAACATATTCGACTGTGAGACTACAAGGGCAGTTGTGAAGTTTTTTCACGCGTCTTAGGGTTTGAGACTGAAAATGGCTTCATTGTATTTGAAGAACTTTGTATGGTCCTGAAGCATGGCACATGCCAACGTGCTCCTGTTCTATGCCAAACTTTTAATGATAGGAGTTCTCTATAATTGTCATCTCGCTATGGAATTCGAAAGCAATGGGTTTTACTTGTTCTCGTGACATCTTACATTTATGATGATACATTGCTCTGCCGTAACGCGATAGATTTATGGAGCATTTGTTTGAAAATGTAAGGGGAATGCGTAACGCAGCTCAAATGACTATACTTAGGGCCGCATGCATCAACATCCCCGCGGGGAGGGGATCGCAGCTTGAAAGAAAGCTTCATATTCTGAAGCTAAAGATATCTGGATTTCACGTTGTATACCTATCCGTAAGTATTCCTACTATCCTTCACTATGAACACATTTAACAGTAGCGAGAAGCTGTACAATCCGCATTCAGCTCTTGTATGATCCCTAATGATCCCCGGTGCTTTTCTTTAAAGTAATTTTTCTTTCTCCGAAGTTAACAAAGACTTCCAAAGTTGCGCAGATTATCCAATTAAACACTGCTTAGCATGTCACTGATAAGAACAAGTGATGTGTCGGAGTCATGAAATTTGCGATGAACCACAAGTCGAAAGTTGGGGTTTACCCAAAAATTCGATTTTTCAAGAACGCGTTTGTTCTCATCGGCACCATACTTAGCACTGTTGTGTTATATACTTACTTGCTTAGATACTTGGGGCCGCATGCACTAACCTCCCCGCGGGGAGGTTAGTGCATGCGGCCCTTAGATGGCCCGTCTTCACGTGGCGTGCGAGCCTCAACACAAAAGTTTTCATCGATCCCTGTCCCTCGCTTCAGACATCCACGATCTTCTTGGTTGACGTCGGTGGCTGCGTCCACGAGTTTCAGGTCGAAAATGGTTTCCAGCTGATTTCTCAGGCTGGTCCATCCGTTCCACGAACACGTCTGCCCATCTCGTCGGTGGTCTTCCTCGGGAACGTTTGGCTTCGCGAGGAATCCACTCAGGTGTTCTTAGTGTCCATCTTCGTCTGCTCTTCTCATGATGTGACCGGCTCATCGGTGTTTAGCTTTCGCAACGTAATCCGTTGAGTCACGAAGACGGGACATTCTCCTCATCTCCGTACTGTGAAGTCCGACTAGATGTTGCTTGCGTCGCGTCGTCTTCAAAAGAGCGCTCGAGCGCCCTGTGGGTGGTCCGTAAAGCTTTCGACGTGGCTACAGTGTCGGCCCTAGTCTCGGCTGCGTAACAGAGCGCCGGGAGAACGGTTGAGTCGAACAGGTGGGCTCAAAGCTCCGGGTCCGTCAGTTGGTCGGTGGCTTCCTTCAGAGGCGCGAAAGCGGCTCAGGCTCTTCTTCTCCTGTTAAGTTCTTCCCTCAAGCCGTTCTCCATGTTCATCGAACGTCCGAGATACACGTAAGAAGACGTCTCCATGATAGGGGTGTGTTCCAACCATTTCTGCATCTTCGCAAAGGGCGTTTCCCATGAACTGAGTCCTCTTCCGACTTACTCGCAATCCGATCTTCTTCCCTACTTCGTTTAGTTCCTTCAGCATCGTCCCTGTTTCAGTGATATTGCTCGAAAAGAGAACGATGCCGTCCGCAAAACGAAGATTAGACAGGAATTTTCCATCAACTCGTATGTCTTTCTCGTCCCAGTCCAGTGACTTCATCACCCACTGCAAGGCGCGGTGGGTGATGAAGTCACTGGACTGGGACGAGACAAGGTGAACAGCTTCGGCGAGATTGTGTCGCCTTGTCGGACCCCTTCCCTATTGGGATGGTCAGGTGGCGATGGAATTGCTGCATCGTCGTTACACAGTTCTTATAGCAATCGGCTAAGGTCCTCATGTAAGCTGGGTCTACTCCTTATCGACTAGCGCAGACAGGATGGCGTTGGTCTCGACACTGTGAAAGGCTTTCTCGTTGTCTACGAAGGTTAGGACGAGAGGCAGTCGATACTCCTGGCACACTTCTATGACCCTGAAACGGTCTGGATGTGGTCCATGCAGCTGAATCCTTTGCGAAATCCAGCTTGTTCTTGGGGTTGGGCTTCATCCAGTGTCTTTGATATGCGAGCGAGGATAATCTTCGTGAAAAGCTTGTACAGCACCCTCAGCAGGCATATTGGACGGTAGTTCCGAAGATCCTCCCGTTCACCCTTCTTGAAGAAAAGGACGGTTCTTGACGTTTTCCACTGATCGAAAATCCTCTCCTTTTAGAGGTAAGATGATGATGCGACGCGAGAATTTCGTGCAGACGTTATCCTCCGACTTGCAGAAATTCGATAGGAAGATGGTCTGGTCCTGGAGCCGTGGTTGTCTTCATGGTCTGAATCGCCGTGCGCACTTCAGCAGGTAGAATTCGTGGTGGAACTTCTCTAGTGGGAACCACGGCCATCGGCACGGGTGTTGAAGAGCGAAAGAGGTTGGTGTAAAATTTCTTTGCGATAGATTTCATCTTGTATCGGGAGGAAGTCGCAGTCCCGTCTTCTTTCAACAGTGCAGCCAGCGGTACGTGGTATTCACAGAGTTACTTCGGCGCTTCATTTGACTTCGTCTTCCTTCGGCTGCTTCCAGTATCTTGGCTTGCCTGCACTCAATTAGATCCTCCTGCAAAGCTGTTCTGCAACTGGTGTTGGCTATCAGTCACTCGAGATGGGTTGTATTCGGATCCTGCTTCAGAAATCTTCTTCTTTCGAGCAATTCCTTAGTGGTCTTCGAGATACGTTCCAAGTTCTTCTCAGAAGTCACTGAGGCGCACTCTCCTCAGGCTCGCAATCTTTTCAGAAGCGGTCGTAGTCGTAGGTTGAGTCCTCCTCGATGGGCCAGTCACATCACAATATGAGCTCTTCCAGCGCCTGTTACCGTCATAAACGACTTCCTTCCTTCTCGCGGCACTGTGGCAAACTTTCTTTTCCAGCTTTCGACTAAATCGTATCTTCGCTCGAAGGAGGCCGTGATCGAAGCCATGCAGAAGGATGGAACTACTGAGACATCGAGGAAGCTCCACCTACGGTTGGTGAGAATGTGGTCGATCTCAGCAAGAGTCGTTCCGTTGGGCGATTCCCAAGTCCACCGGCGATGTTCTTTCTTCATGAAGATGGAATTTCCATGAAAAAGCCGTGCGGCGGAGAGAAGCCCAACGAGACGGTTGCCGTTTTCATTTCGGAGCCCATATCCAAACTTCCCGATCCTATATTCCTTTTCTAGTGGCATCCCGATTTTCGCAAAGAAGTCGCCCACAACATACTTGTAGAAGGACTTCTCGTTGCGGCCGACCTGCTCCACGTCTTCGTAGAAAGCATCTAGCTTTGAATCGTCAACTGCTGATGATGGTGAATAGTAGCTGATGATGCTGATGGTCTTCGTGGAGGCCGAGTCATTGTGTTAGATAATCGTTACAACTTTGGAAGGTTTACGTTAACTTTAAACAAAGAAAAATGACTTTAAAGAAAAGCGCAGGAGATCATCAGGGATCATACAAAAGCTCGAAACTGCAGCTTGTACAGCTTCTCGCTACTGTTAAATGTGTTCATAGTGAAGGATAGTAGGAATACTTACGGATAGGTATACAACGTGAAATCCGGATATCTTTAGCTTCAGAATATGAAGCTTTCTTTCAAGCTGCGATCCCCTCGCCGCGGGGATGTCAATGCATGCTTTCTTGCTTCGATATTGCTGCATCGTAGGATTAGCGGCCAATATGCTCAATTTTGCTTGAAGTAATGAGAGAAATTCAAGGTGCCATCACAACAATCACATTAACCTGAGAGGCACCAACAGCTTTCGGGTGCAGTACGGAAGATCAATCTGCTCTGGTAACTCATGCAGGTCTCGAATGTATTCTTTGCAACGTGTATTATAACTCAAAGACACCCTCCACCTAAACTGAGGATTTTAAGAATTTGATGCTTCTAGCGGGGGAGGTGACCAGGTAATCGCCCAATTTCCTACAAAAGATGCCGAAACGAGAAAACCGCTCCAGAAGGTAGAAGCGACCTGAGTGGCTCCACCAGCGGCGTGGGTGGTCCGAAGATAATGAGCTTGGAAGCGGGCTGCAGAGTAGGTAGAAATGTCACAAACGTTTTGGTGGAAGTTGCTATCAAATACCAATAACTGGCTTCCCTCCGCGTTTTTGCGCAACTGTTTGATGATTTTTTAGGCTCAGATCAAAGTTTTAGATACATATCAAAGGCCATATCGGAATCTACTCACCCAATGCATTTTTCTCCTACCCAACTTTGTTTTTCAACTTTACCTTTTCATAAAACAAATTTATGTAAATCTCACGTAAAGGCTTTGACCATTTACCCGTATTACTTGTGTTGATAGTGTTGTCATGATACCGGTGAACCCACGTTATTCCTGCCATTAGTGCTTGCTATCCGTACTACCACTGTCACTAAAATTACTATTGTTACCAGCTTACCGCGCAAATTGTGCAGGGCCTACTTTACAACGGTATTCTATTGCAATCCGAAACCTCTGGTATGTTATTAGGTTGAACCGAAAGTTCTTTCTCCCCATTTTTAAAAATTCATAACTTCCGATTTTTTCAACCAATTTGGCTACATTCTCTTTTTTATGAAAGAGTAACTCATGCTCTTCATAATGGCATCTTAGCTGCTCGCTAATGACCATCTGTTGCATAGATAGGAGCGATAGAAGAAAATTAGTCAAAATTTGAATTTTCTGTGTAAGGTCATAAAAAATCGGAAGCTTGCAAGAAAAATCGGAGCAGTTAGTATTGTAGGTTCTTTTACCAGCTGTTTCTAATGGGGCAAAGTTTGCGTCGATTGAGAGTTTCTGTCAAAAGTTATGATTTCCCTGAAAAATGCCAAAATAAATCAAATTCGCTATTTTGTATTGCTTGCTCGA